TGCCTGAACTGTCCCTGAGCTTTTATGCTCACGGCTGGAACTCTACTACTTGAGCCGCAGTGCTACTTTCTACTTTTTGGTGCTTTATTGGAGATGAGTCTCATGGACTTTCCTGCAGGGGCTGGCTATGAACTGTGATCCTCAGATCTCAGCCTCTTGAGTAGCTGGGATTACAGGCATGAGCCACTGGTGCACGGCCCTTTACCACAATTTTTTAAAAGTACATTATATTAAATTGGGATTGGAAGTGCGGCTCAGCTGGTGGATCACTAGCCAATGAACAAAAACATCGGTTCCAAGTTCGTGTCCCAGTCTTGGTGTATATGAATATATGTATGTATGTATATATATGGTATATATATATATATATATATATATTTATATATATATATATATATAATCACAGGCAAAGACCCTGTGGTAAAAATGAATTTGATGTATTCGTGGAGCAGGCAGGAAACCACCGCAATGACTCGGAGGAATTAGGAGAGCACAACAGGACTCGATTCTTATTTGGGGTCATCACAATGCCACAAAGCACAACCAACTAAGGGCTTCGGACAAGAGACGTGTTCTCTCTCTCACACTCTTGGAGGCAGCAGGGCCGCTCATGCTGAAGCCTGAGGAAGATCCAGCCTAGTCTGCAGGAAATCCTTGCCGTGCTCGGGGCTTGTAGACACACGTCACTCCGTCTCTGCCCCCACAGCCCACGCGGCCCCGCCTCCTGCGCCTCCCCCCCCCTCGGTATGCCAATCATCAGATCCAGTGCCCGCCCTAATCCAAGATGGTTTCGTCACTGCATCTGCAGCCCGATTTCATCCGCAAAGACCCTTTGCCCAAACAAGGTCACACGCACAAGTTCCCGGGGGATGGAATATGGCCGTGCCTGGGATGGGGTGGGGTGGGGATCAGGGACCATTCAACCCCCTACTGTAAGCATCTGATGGGGTGGGGTGGGGATCAGGGACCATTCAACCCCCTACTGTAAGCATCTGAAGCAGCAACAACCAATTCCTGCAACACCAGAAGCACTGACAGCGCCCACCTGCCCGGCCCTCCAGGCCTCTCATGAAATCTGGTGCCAGGATGGAGCCCCCACCCCCCAACCGCACCCCTGTGGTAGCTCTGGGCCTCCACCCAAATTCCCTTTGTGTTTGAGAAGCTGAGTTCTGGGCCCTACCCCTGCCTACCAGCTTCTGGGGCTCCTCTGGGCGCGGGCGGGTGGCGGGGAGGGGAGAGGGCTGAACCCCAACCTCTCTAAGGGCAGGAGAGACGGCACCTCTGAATCCTAGAGAAATCAATTCCCTGGCCGCAAAGGTTTCCGTCCCCCGAGGTCATTGAAAGGAGCGATGGGGAGCAGACCTCCACCCCCACCCCGGTCTCCACCCTCCCGTTCTCTCCGGAAGGAGCACTCATCTATTTATTCGCACCGAGTTTGTTTTCGCGTCTGCCAGACGCGGACCCACAACCTGCACCCCGCCCCCTCGGCGCGGCTGTGGGCGGGGCCCTCTCTCAACCAATGGGACCCGGGGGTTGGGGGAAAAGAGGAGGGGCTTATGGGGCAGATCAGGCCCCGCCCCCGCCCCGCCCCCTGCACACAAAAGCCGCCCGATTTTCCCCGTCAGGGAAGCGGAGCCGCGCCAGCCCGCCGCGGGCTCGGGGAGGAGGGGAGCCGGGGGCGGGCGTCCGGCCGCGATGACGGGGGGCACGGCGACGGCGGGGGGCCGCGAAGCCTCTCGCTGAGCGGAGCCGCCTCCCTCCCACCCCCCGGGGGAGCCCGGGGACCGCGGAGCCCGCGAGCGCCGGCCGCGTTGCCCCGGTGACCTTCGTCGGATGCGGAGTCGGCTCGCGGCATCCCGGAGATGCGCTGAGGCCTGGGGACCGCGCGGGATGCGCGGCCGCGCCCGGCCCGGCTCGCCTTTGTTTGCCAGTGACAGCGCCCACAGGCGACGCCGCGGGGGAGGTGAGTGGAGCTCCGCACCTCCCTTCCGCTCCCCGCCCGCCTCGGGGGACGCGGGGCGCGGAAGCCTCCAAGCCCGGGACCCGCGGCCCCGGGCGGGGGGGAGCGGGAAGCGCGTGCCGGGCGGTGGGGGGGGGGTATTGCGGGATGCAAAGCCAGCGCCCCCTGCGCGCGCCCGCGCCCCTCGCACCCCGAACCCGGGCGGCCGGGCCCCGAGCATCTCCTCCGCGCGCGCCCGCGCCGCGCGCGCCCGCATCTCGCGCACCGGCAGCCAGCCACAATTGTAACCATTTCTTCGGCGTTCTCCACAGCCCGGGCGGGCCAAAGCGCCAGCGCCTCGGGAAGCTGAACGCCACCCGACCCGTTCCTGTGCCCGCCCCGGGGAGCCGGGCTGGGGGGTGCGGCGGCGGTGCGGGGAGGCCCGGGTTGATCCCGTGCGGACCGAGGCTTTGCCTACCGGGTGGAGAGGAGGGCAGCCGGGCCCGGGGCGAGCGCGGGGACTCCTCTTCTGCTCCCGAACTCGCTGCGAGGTGCTTAGACCGCAGCGCAGCCGAGCCGGGCCCCTCGCGGTCGCTCGCGGTGCCCGGGGGGTGCAGCCGGGCTCTCAGCGCGGGCGCGCGCGCGGCTCACCGGGGACCACCGCACCCCACATCTGGAGGATGTGGTTCCGCCTCTGGCTGGGGGGTCCCCACCCCCGCCCCCCGGAGCTGGAGTCAGGCCCCGCGCAGGGGGAGGAAGACCCCGTCCTCCAGGTGGGGGAAGGACGCGAGCTTGAACCCGCGGCCGCGGCCGGCAGGGCTCCTGCGCGGAGCGCCTGGAAGGGATTATTTTTTCTGCGGCTCTGCGCCTTGCCGTCCCTCCTCCATGAATGAATGACGAAATCCAGCCGCACGGAGAGGACGGCGCGGGGAGCCCCCTCCGCGCCCCTGCGCGTCCGCTCAGGCCGCCCCGGCCACAGGTGGTCGCCGGCTGGGGCGGGGCGGGGTCCTGCCGCGCCCAGCCTCGGCGTCAGATGCCGGCCCAGCGCTCGCCCCGCAGGGCTGAGGGCTAACGCGAGCCTCGGACCCCGGGAACCGCGGACAGGGACGCACGCACGTGTCCATCCCCGAGCCGGGCACCGAGGGAGGGCCGTGGGGACCACGCTCCTTGGTGGCCGCTGAACGTGGTCCTGAAGTCTGGTCACCAACGTGCACACAGGACAGGAAGACGTGTTTCCTGGAAAACCGGTTTTCCCCCAGTCCCTGTGGCACCTGGCACCGGGGTCCTGTTCTGGACAGGCCTGGTGCTCACCAGGGCGGGCTTTGTCCCGCCTGTCATGACAACTGGAAATGCCCCTGTACCAAAGGGGACACACCATGTCCTCCCAGGGGGGTTGGGGAGACAGAAGGATCCTCCCAGGTGGTAAACTGGGGAGTGGGGTGGGGCTGTCTGTCCATCACAGGAAAATTCCTGTTCAAGAACAAGTCATCTCTAAATCAACTCATTTACATACAGACCGGGAAGGAAACTGAGGCACAGAAGAGAAGTCTCTGATCTGCCTAGGCAGTTCTGATCCTGCTCCCAGACCATCCCCCTTCTCCACCACTACCCCCAGCACTTCAGAACAATAAAAAGAAAACCAGCAGGGCTGGGAAGGTGGCTCAGCGGTAGAGCGCTTGCCTTGCAGGCATGAGGCCCTGGGTTCGATTCCTTAGCACCACATAAGCAAAAAGAAAAAAGCCAGAGGTGGCGCTGTGGCTCAAGTGGTAGAGCACTAGCCTTGAGCTGAAGAGCTGAGGGATAGCACCCAGGCCCAGAGTTCAGGCCCCACAACCGGACCCAAAAAAAGAAAAAAAGACGAAGAAAAAATAAACCGGCCTTTGGTGATGATAAAGGTCTGATTTCTGTTGGACTGGTGGCTCATACCTGTAATCCTACCTACTCTCGAGGTTGAGATGTGAGGATTGCGGTTCAAAGCCAGCCAGGGGAGAAAAGTCTGTGAGACTCTTATCTCCAATAAACCACTAGAAAACCAGAAGTGGTGCTGTGGCTCAAGCCATGAGCTCAAGAACTCAGGGAAAGCCCCCAAGTCCAGGGTTCAAGCCCCATGACTGACCCCCCCCCCCAAAAAAAAGGATCTGATTTCCCATTACTGCTGGGTGTCAAGGGGTTCCCAGGAATTTCTCACTCTTGGGAAGACAAAGGGGCAGGGCAGGAGAGTTAATATGTTGGTCATTCACACTTCAATATGAAGTGTGTGTATGTGTGAGAAAGAGAGAGAGAATGAGTCAGTCCTAGAACTTGAACTCTGGGCCTGATTGCTGTCTCTGAGCTTTTTAGCTCAAGGCTAGTGCTCTACCACTTGAGCCCCTGCTCCACTTCCAGTTTTCTGGGAGGTAATTGGAGATAAGAGTCTGTAAGCTTGCTGACCAAGTTAGCTTTGAATTTCAGTCTTCAGACTTCAACCTCCTAAGTAGCTAGGATTACTGGCATGAGCCATCAGCACCCAGCAACAAAAGATGTTTTTGAAAAAATAAAAAGAACAAAGCAAGCAAGCAAGCCCGGTGCTGGTGGCTCACACCTGTAATCTTAGCTACTCAGGAGGCTGAGATCTGAGGATCACCGTTCAAAGCCAGCCTGGGCAGGAAAGTCTATGAGACTCTTATCTCCAATGAACCACCAGAAAACTGGAAGTGGTGCTGTGGCTCAAGTGGTAGAGCACTAGCCTTCAGCTGAAGAACCAAGGATCAGCGCCCAGGCCCAGAGTTCAAGCCCCATGACTGACCAAAAAAAAAAAAGAAAGAAAAAAATTCATTGCTTCCAAGTTGAGAGTCCAAGAAAGAGAAAGAGGCTTGAGAGTGCCTGGGTCATGGTTTGGCTGGGGGATGGTGTAGTTCAGAGCTCCCAGGAGATGGAGGCTTGTATTTGGAGGCCCAGACCCTCCCTTGGGCTCCAAACCTCACTCCAAGGTGTCCTCGTTCACGAGAGGTAAGCCCATTCTTCCCCCTCCTGTCCCCCCAGGTTCATCCCTGCTCTACACCAGCCCCTCTCCCTGGTTCCCATGGGGACCACCGAGGCCACCTTGCGGATGGAGAACGTGGATGTGAAGGAGGAATGGCAGGACGAGGACCTTCCGAGGTAAGGCATGTCCTCCCCATCATGTCACCCAGGTGGGGGAACTGTGGAGGCCTGTGGATATCCAGAGCCTGTGGGAGCGGCTGCGGCCCAACCAGGACATCTGAGGGGGTTTCCGAGGGCTGACCTGGCTCTGGCCCACTCAGTCTCTTCCCCCATGCTCACCTTGAGCAGGGAGATGACCCCTGCCCCCCCCACCTCTCCCTCTGATCTCACAGCAGTGAGTCCAGGCCTGGCACATAATGAATAGTTGCTTAATTAGCACATTTTCTCCAGACTCCTACATCTACAACACTTTTGTTGTTGTTGTCGGTCATGGGGCTTGAACTCTGGGCCTGGGCGCTGTCCCTCAACTCTTTTTTTTTTTGTTTTGTTTTTTTGCCAGTCATGGTGCCTGAACTCGGTCTGGGCCACAGCGCCACTTCCGGCTTTTTCTGTTTATATGGTGCTGAGGAATCGAACCCAGGGCCTCATGCATGCAAGGCAAGCACTCTACCACTGAGCCACCTTCCCAGCCCTGTCCCTCAACTCTTTAGCTCAAGGCTAGCGCTCTACCACTTGAGCTGCAGTGCCACTTCCGGTTTTCTGGTGGTTCATTGGAGATAAGTGTCTCACAGACTTTCCTTCCCCAGCTGGCTTTGAACCATGATCCTCAGATCTCAGCCTCCTGAGTAGCTAGGATGACAGGCGTGAACCACCGGCCCTGACTACTTTTATTTTTTTAAATTTTTTGCCAGTCCTGGAGCTTGAACTCAGGGCCTGGGCACTGTCCCAGAGCTTCTTTGGCTCAAGACCAGCACTCTACCACTTGAGCCACAGCACCACTTCTGGCCTTTTCTGTGTATGTGGTACTGAGGAATCGAACCCAGGGCTTCATGCATGCTAGGCAAGCACTCTACCACTGACCACATTCCCAGCCCTCTTGTAGATATCCCAATATTCCAACGTTGTTGTTATCTGGGCTTGAAGCCAGGGCCTGCGTGTGGTCCTTTGGCTTTTCCCACTCATGGCTGGTGTCCTATCACTCAAGCCACAGCTCCACTTCTGCTTTATGCTGGATAATTGTAGAGAAGGAATATCTAGACTTTCCTGCCTGGGCTAGCTTCAAACCATGATCCTCAGAGTCGCAAGGGTTACAGGTGTGAGCCACCGGTGCCCAGTGTAATCTCTGTTCTGATCACTATCTTTGGGCAAGATAGAGCTTGTATATACAGTAGGTGCTCACTATATAAATTGGGTAATGAGTAATGCTTACCGGATAGAAGGCAGCTACAATGTGAATGTCTTTGTTGGCTGGAGACAGAGGTTCATCTCTAACCCTTGATGGGCCAAGTCACCCCCAGAGACTATACCCAAGAATTTGCCTATAAAGTATCAGGAGAGCTGGATGCTGGTGGCTCACGCCTGTCATCCTAGCTGCTCAGAAGTCTGAGATCTAAGGATCTCAATTCAAAGCCAGCCCAGTCAGGAAAGTGGATGAGACTCTTGTCTCCAGTTAACCATCAGAAAACCAGAAGTGCTGCTGTGACTCAAAGAGGTAGAGCACTAACCTTGAGCAAAAGAGCTCAGGGAAGGTCGGGAGCCAGTGGCTCAATCCTGTAATCCTAGCTACTCAGGAGGCTGAAATCTGAAGATCTTGGTTCAAAACCAGCCTGGGCAGGAAAGTCTGTGAGATTCTTAGCTCTGATAAACCACTAGAAAACCGGAGGTGGTGTTGTGGCTCAAGTGGTAGAGCGCTAGCCTTGAGCTGAAGAGCTGAGGGACAGTACCGAGGCCTGGAGTTCAAGCCCCAGGACTGACAGAAAGAAGTAAAAAAAGTAGCAGGAGAGGAGACTGTTCATAGGGCCAGGTGTGCTCAGCCTCCTGCTAAAGATTTTTTGAATCTCAGCCTCCTGAAGTGCTGGAGTGACAGGTATAAGCCACATGATTGGACTCTGCGGGAGCATTCATGGAGGAATGATTCTAACCGCCCCCCCCCCCCACACACACACCTGGAGGCCGGGTGCTGGGTCTACAGAGAAGCTGCACATACTCTCTGGTAGACATTAATCATTTCTAGGTGACTTGTAATTCAACATACACAGACACACATTCACTGTGTTTCTAGTTGCTACATGGTAGCTCAGAGTTAAAATGACAAGGGATTCTACAGGGATACATTTTATTTTATGGTCAGTTGCAGGGCTTGAACTCTGGGCCTGGGCACTGTGCCTTATCTCTTCAGCTCAAGAGGAGCACTCTACCACTTGAGCCATAGCGCCACTTCTGGTTTTCTGGTGGTTCATTGGAGATAAGAGTCTCATGGAGGGGCTGGGAAGGTGGCTCAGTGGTAGAGCGCTTGCCTTGAATGCCTGAGGCCCTGAGTTCGATTCCTCAGCACCACAGAAGCAAAAAGAAAAAAGCTGGAAGTGGCGTTGTGGCTCAAGTGGTAGAGCGCTAGCCTTGAGCTGAAGAGCCGAGGGACAGTGCCCAGGCCCAGAGTTCAGGCCCACATCCGGACCCCCCCCCCCCCCAAAAAAAAAAAGAGTCTCATGGACTTTCCTGCCTGGGCTTTGAACCGTGATCCTCAGATCACAGCCTCTTGAGTAGCTAGGATGATAGGTGTGAGCCACTGGCTCCTGGCTTTAGGAGATTTTTTTTTTAATTCTCCAATTAACCAATAAAAAGAAAGACATCAGGTAAGCAAAAAGGAAGGAAGGAAGGGGAGAAGGAAGGAAGGGTGGGAGGGAGGGACAAGTAAGTTAAGGCCCCTCCCAAGCCTTCTGGGGTCAGCAATGGGGCCCAAAGCAGCTGCAAAGGGCGGCAGGGGTGGGGACCAAAGAGTGGAGGGTGTCGATCCACTGAGCCCCAGCTGCAGAGCCTCCTCTCCAGGCTCAGCAGCCCACTGTTGGGGGACAGTGGCCTGGCTGTACCTCCAGGGCCGCCAGCTGGGCAGTGTGCCCACAGGGCTGCTGTCTTCCTGGGCCCTGGAAGGGGTGGGAGCAGCTTCTTGAGGCAGCTCCAGCTGGGGACACACAGAGGTGTCTCTGTGGGCAGCTGGGGTTCTGTTCCCTCCAGCCTCTATTCCTTCATGGGGGGGTGCTTCAGGCAACCCCAGGACATCACCAGCCTGAGCCCAGTATGTGGGCCCCACCTTCTGCAAATCCCCACCGAGCCAGAGCTAAGCGCAGCCTGAAATCACTCAGCCTCCTGCCTCAGTTTCTCTATCTGGACCCCATCTAAACTTAATTACATCAGCAAAGACTCTACCCTCACAGAAGGTTACAAGTCAAGGCCCCAGTGGGGCCTGGTATGGTGTTGTGGAAGCTGAGATCTGAGGATCATAATTTGAAGCCAGCCAAGGCAAGGAAGATCCACCAACAAAAAGCTGGACTGGAAACGTGGGTCAAGTGGTGGAGTGCCAGCTGGGCTAAACCTTAAAAAAGACTAGGGGTGTGGCTCAGTGTTGGGGGTGTGGCTTGTGTCAGGGATATGGTTTCAGTAGTGGAACACCTACCTGTGAAGCAAAAGGCACTGGTTTAACACTAATATCAGAAATAGGGCTGGGAAGGTGGCTCAGTGGTAGAGTGCTTGCCTTGCATGCCTGAGGCCTTGGGTTCGATTCTTCAGCACCACATAAACAGAAAAAGCCGGAAGTGACACTGTGGTTGAAGTGGTAGAGCACTAGCCTTGAGCTGAAGAGCTGAGGGACAGTGCCCAGAGCCAGAGTTCAGGCCCCATGACCAACAAAAAACAAAACAGAAAAAACAATTTATTTTTTTAGAGATTCCCAGTGAAGAGCTGGAAGCAGGTGGCTCAGGCCTATTAATCCTAGCTACTCAGGAAGCTGAGATCTGAGGATTGTGGTTCAAAGCCAGCCTGGGTAGGAAAGTTCATGAGATTCTTATCTCCGGTTAACCACCAGAACACTGGAAGTAGTGCTGTAACTCAAAGTGGTAGATCAAAAGAGTTCAGGGGCAGTGGCCAGGCCCTGAGTTCAAGCCCCACCTTTTTTTTTCTTTTGGTGCAGGGAGAAACTATATCCGACTCTACAGAAAGACAAAGCCATATGGCATAATGAGGTGACCCCTACTTTTTTATTTTTATTTTTCCAGTACTGGGTTTAAACTCGGCACCTTGTGCTTGCTCATCTATGAGCCATGCTTCCAGTCCAGCTTTTTTTGTTGTTGTCGGTCGTGGGACTTGAACTCTGGGCCTGGGCGCTGTCCCTCAACTCTTCAGTTCAAGGCGAGCGCTCTACCACTTGAGCTACAGCGCCACTTCCGGTTTTCTGGTGGTTTATTGGAGACAGGAGTCTCACTGTCTCTCCTGCCTGGGCTGGCTTTGAACCGCGATCCTCAGATCTTAGCCTCCTGAGTAGCTAGGATTACAGGCGTGAGCCACTAGTGCCCAGCCCATCCAGTCCAGCTTTTTGCTGGTTAATTGAAAATAGACTCTCACAGGATTTTCTGACCAGTCTAGCTTTTTTTTTTGGGGGGGGGGGTCCGGTCATGGGGCCTGAACTCTGGGCCTGGGTGCTGTCCTCAGCTCTTCAGCTCAAGGCTAGCGCTCTACCACTTGAGCCACAGCGCCACTTCCAGCTTTATTCTTTTTGCTTATGTAGTGCTGAGGAATCGAACCCAGGGCCTCAGGCATGCAAGGCAAGCTCTCTACCACTGAGCCACCTTCCCACCCCCTGCCCAGTCTAGCTTTGAACAGCAATCCTCCCAATCTTCAGAGTAGTGGGGATTATAGGCATGAATTACTGGTGCCAACCCTGTAGGATGTGGGGGGGGGGGCGGGGGGGGGGGGCATGAGCACACACACATAACAGTTCTGGGGCTTAAACTCAGCCCCAGGCACTGTCCCTTCAAGGTGGCTCAGTGGTAAAGCGCTTGCCTTGCATGCCTGAGGCCAATTCCTCAGTACCACATAAGCAAAAAGGAAAAATCTGGAAGTGGCTCAAGTGGTAGAGCGCTAGCCTTGAGCTGAAGAGCTGAGGGACAGCGTCCAGGCCCAGAGTTCAGGCCCCACGACCGGACCCCCCACCCCCCGCAAAAAAAAAAAAAAAAAGAGTTTCACGGAGTTTTCTGCTCGGGCTGGCTTTGAACCGTGATCCTCAGATCTCAGCTTCCTGAGTAGCTAGGATGACAGGCGTGAGTCATCAGCTCTTGGCCTAACCTCTTCCTTTTTTTCTCTTTCTTTTTTTTTATTTGTGGGTCTTGGCTCTTGAACTCTGGGCCTGGGCGCTGTCCACAGCTCTTCAGCTCAAGGCTAGCACTCTATCACTTTAAGCCACAGTGCCATTTCCAGCTTTTTCTGTGTATGTAGAACTGAGCAATTGAGGAATCCAACCCAGGGCTTCAAGTGTACTAGACAAGCACTCTACTACTAAGCCCTGAAACTCTTATCTCTAATTAACCACCCGAAAACCAGAAATGGAGCTGTGGCTCAAAGTCGTAGAGTGCTAGCCGTGAGCAAAAGAGCTCAGTGACAGCGTTCAGGCCTTGAGTTCAAGCCTCATGATTAAATAAGTAAATAAGTAAATAGTTTCCTCTGGCAGGAAGAGTAGGGAACTGGGAGTGGTGGGGGGGGGGGGACCCCAGGTCTGTTGACTCCTTTGTGATACATACTGGAGCTGTGCACCTGCCCTGAGTGGACACCAGAGGGCGGTAGAGGGCAATGACAAAGGCCCTGGGACTGGGGCCTATGGGTCCCAGCTCTCTGATTGATGCTGCCTGGGCAGCAAGATGATTCTAGAGGATTCTAGAATAAAAGGAAATGGAAAAATGAGAAGATTCTAAAGGGAAATTCCTACACTGTCTCTCCCTCCCCTCCCCTGCCAGGGTTTGCACAAGATTCCAGTTTCTGCCAATTGCTGCTGGTTTGAAAGCAAAGGTTTCTTCCTTCAAAGGGAGATGGGGCCCTGTGTCAGTGACTCACGCCTGTAATCCCAGCTATTCAGGAGGCTGAGATCTGAGGATCGCAGTTCAAAGCCAGCCCGGGCAGGAAAGTCTGTGAAACTCTTATCTCCAATGAACCACTAGAAAACTAGAAATGGTGCTGTGGCTCAAGTGGTAGAGTGCTTGCCTTGAGCTGAAGAGCTTAGGGAAGCACCCAGGTCCAGAGTTCAAGCCCCATGACTGACAAAATAATAATAATAATAATAATAATTTGGTTTTCTGAAAGGAGTTTTCCAATGCATGGCCTATGAATTTTCTGTGCCAGGAAAGAAGTGGCCAAGTGTAATGCCTTACCCTTGAAATCCAGCTTCTTAGGAAGCAAATATTGGGACGATCAAGGATTGAGCCAGTCTGGACAAAATTTTAGTAAGACCCCATCTCAACAAACAAGCCGAGTGTGGGTTTTCCTATCTATCATCCCAACTACACAGGGATAGGAAGAGCCAGATTCCAACCCTGGGGGCAAAAGCATTAAACTGTGTGTGAAGAAATAACAATAGAAGAAAAGGCAGGAGGTGTGACTCCTAGAGCACCTGCCTAGCAAGTACAAGGCCCGGAGTTCAAATCCCAGTCCCACCAAAGAGGGAAAAGATTCAGGTTAAAGGAAAAGGAGGAAGTGTGTTGGAGCATAACGACTTCTAGGAACTCAGTGTGTTTTGTGGATCTTGTCTTTCTCTCTCCCCCCTTGTCTTGTCTCCTTGCTCCCCTCCGGATCACGCTGGGTCCCGACTTGCTCCTGTGGCGCGGTCGGCAGGCCGCTCCCAGAAGAGACAGGAATGGAACTGTTGGGTAGCCCGGTGGAGGACACATCCTGTAAGTTCTCACGCATGCGTGCACACAGAGCGTCGGTGGCTGTACCCCGGCTGTAGAAATGTCAGCGGTCACCGGTGGGGCGGGGGGGGGGGTCCCACAGGAACTCAGGGACACAGTTGTTCTGCCTGCCAGTGTGCAGGGCAAGCAATATGGCCAGGGAGAGCCTAGAACATCTTGTCTTGCTGTGTGCCCTCAAGCTGGTTCCTTAACCTCTCTTGGCCTCCAACTTCTTATCCACCAAAGGCAGCTCCCTCAAAGAGGAAGCATGCAAGAATTAAATGAGATAGCGATACAGCATGCCCAGCCATAAGAGGGGGTGAGGTCAATCCAGCTAAATAAGTTCCAAGCCAACGCAGGCAGGAAAAGTCTGTGAGACATTTTTTATTTATTTATTTTTTTTGTCTTTGCAAGTCCTGGGGCTTGAACTCTGGGCCTAGGCACTGTCCCTGAGCTCTTCAGCTCAAGGGGAGCGCTCTACCACTTGAGCCACAGTGCCACTTCCAGCTTTTTGGTGCTTAATTGGAGATCAGGGTCTCAGATTCTTAGACCAGGCTGGTTTTGAACTGTGGTCCTCAGATCTCAGCCTCCTGAGTAGTTAGGATTACAGGCGTGAGCCTCTGGTCCCATCTCACTGCCTGGCTTACAGGCAGGATTTGAAGGCAGGGCTGCCCAGCCTGAGGGAATGAAGCGAGTACCCGGAGGGAGTCCCAGAGCACCCCCTCCGGCCCCCCCACAGCCGAGGAGTCCTTCAAACCCCCCGTGGGATGGGAGGAGGAGGCTCGGGACAAGGGCCTTGTGCCTTGGGCTTCCGTAGCTCCTCCCAGCACCCTGAATGTCCTCGGAGCCCATCGCAAGAGGAAGACGCTGGTGGCCCCCGAGATCAACATCTCCCTGGACCAGAGCGAGGGCTCCCTGCTGTCCGACGACTTCCTGGACACCCCCGATGACCTGGATATCAACGTGGACGACATCGAGACGCCTGATGAGACCGACTCGTTGGAGTTCTTGGGGAACGGCAATGAGTTAGAGTGGGAAGGTAGGAGACCCCCCCGCAACCCAGCCCCCCCCGCAACCCAGCCCCCCCCCCGCAACCCAGCCCCCCTTCCTCCCCCCCCCCCGCCCAGCACTGCCCATCCCCACCTGGTCCCCAAATAAACATAAATAATACATCAGACACATTGCTCTGCCGACGTGCAGGGGGCCTTTTGAGGCTGATGTTGAGAAATACATGCTGTCCGTGTATTGCCGGGATGAATATTTACACAAAATGAGTTCATCGATGGTGGAGTACCTCCTGCAAAAGGAATCTTTGGGGCTGGGAAGGTGGCTCAGTGGTAGAGCGCTTGCCTTGCATGCATGAGGCGCTGGGTTCGATTCCTCAGCACCACATAAGCAGACAAAAGCCTGAAGTGCTGTGGCTCAAGTGGTAGAGCGCTAGCCTTGAGCAAAAGAAGCTCTAGCTCGCTACCATTTGAGCCACAGCGCCCCCTCTGGCTTTTTCTGTGCATGTGGTACTGAGGATCGAACCCAGGGCTTCATGCATGCAAGGCAAGCGCTCTACCACTGAGCCACCTTCCCAGCCCTGATTTGTTTTTTAATTTTAATTTTTTTTTTAAAGCTCAGTCCCTACACTTCCCCTAACAACTTCAGTCCAACCAAATGTGGTTAGCGAAGTGTCCAATACGCTGTTGTTCAGCCTGTGGCCTGGGAGAGAGGCAATGAGGCGCTGCTCTCCTGGGGCCTTGCCTCCAGATGATCACATTTGCTGGACGGTCATCTGTGTTAGCTGCTGGTTGGTGGGAGGAGAGTGCCATCCTGGAAGGCTTCCTGGAGGAGGTGGCATGTGCAGCCCAAGCCGGGAAGCCAGGTGGCAGGTCTGCTGGCAGCCACATGTGTATGGTCCCTTCCTCCTTCTCCTCCCTGGTTTGCTGACAGATGACACCCCCGTGGCCACTGCCAAGAACATGCCTGGAGACAGCGCGGATCTGTTTGGGGACGGGGCCGCGGAGGAGGGCAGCGCAGCCAACGGGCGTCTGTGGCGGACGGTGATCATTGGGGAACAAGAACACCGGATCGACCTGCACATGATCCGGCCTTACATGAAGGTGCTCACCCACGGAGGTGAGTCCTCCCTGACACCCGGCCGCCTCCCCGCCGCCCGGGCTTTGCCCGGACGCACCGAGAGCCAGGTTCTGTCTGCGGTCCGTAGCCTGCTAACCTGCCATCTTAACCCGGAGGAGGCCTGAGGGCTAGGGACAAGGGAGTGCCACGCAGAGGGCACTGGCTGCCCACGCCAGGCTGGTGGACGGCCCTGAGCACGTGGGGTGGGAAGAGGCCGGCCAGCCGTGGGGGGACGCAGGGCGTGGTGCACCCTGGGGCAGCTCACAGCTGGCAGAGGACGCTGCCCACTGGTGCCCCGGGGGACTGTGTCACCCACGGGCCTCCTGTCCCCAGGGTACTACGGAGAAGGTCTCAATGCCATCATCGTCTTCGCTGCCTGCTTCCTCCCGGACAGCAGCTCCCCAGACTACCACTACATCATGGAGAATCTCTTCCTGTGAGTCTCTTAGCCACCCCGGAGTCCCGGGCAGCTGCCAGATGCCTGGCTGTGGGGCTGGAGAGGCGCCGCTCAGTACCAAGGGATGTAGTGGCAGCCAGTACGGCTGGACCCCGAGGCCCCGCTGCCCGTGGACCGCCCTGTGCCTTTCATTCTGGGCCTTCATAGCCCTGTTGTGATTATTCCTTCACCACCACCATCAACATCACCCTTATCTCCATCATCACCATTATCATTAGCATCTCCATCCTCCTCCTCCTCCTCATCGCTGCCGCCACCATCAGTACCAGCGTTCATGTAGAGGTCGCCGCATGGCAGACACCAGGTGTGGTGTTTTCTGCCTGATCACCTACCATCTTTCCCACCGCTGCGTTGTTTCCGCTCCTCAGTTCAAAGGCTAGGCACACAGCACTTAAACCACTAAGTGCGTAAGGACTCTTAGTTGGATCAGATACAAATATAAGGATATATATATATAGTCTGGCATGGTGGCACACACCTGTAATCCCGGCACTAGAGAGGCAGATGCAGAAGTTAAATGAGAGCAAGGCATAAGACAATTGACCTTTCACCACTATGCCCACAGATGTAGACTTGCAGTAGTCAGGGATTGTCCCTGTGCTCCTCCCAGAGTGGACCAGACAAACCTGCCCAGGAGTGTCTGTAGCTGCCCAGGTGTGTCTGGCCCGATGGCGGGTGGCAGGAGACAGGCAACTGTGACAGGTGTCCTGACCCTGGGTGCTTCCCCTGGGGTCCTCACCGTTGTCATCCTGGACCAGGTATGTCATCAGCAGCCTGGAGCTGCTGGTGGCCGAGGATTACATGATCGTGTACCTGAACGGCGCCACCCCTCGGCGGAGGATGCCTGGCATTGGCTGGCTGAAGAAGTGTTACCAGATGATTGACAGGAGGTGAGCGGCAGCTGGGCCGTTTGCTGGGATTGTGGGGACCAGACGGCCTAAGGGCCGCCATGAAGTGTCACCGCACTCCCCAGGCTGAGTGTCAGCTCTGAGGAGGCGGGCCTTTCCCTCTCGGCGCTGGCTCCAGCGCCACGTGGCCACTGGTGGTCGCAGGGTCTTTAAGGACATCCCTTCATCTCTGCTCCCCTTCTCTTTTCCCTCCCGCCCTCCTTCCCTCCCTTCCTCCCTCCGCTTCGTCCTTGTCTTAGGGCTTGAAGTCAGGACCTGGGCACTGTCCCTGAGCTTTGTTGTTCAAGGCTAGAGCTCTATCCATTTGAGCCACAGCTCCGCTTCCCATGTTTTGGTGGTTCATTGCAGATAAGAGTCCCTCTGACTTTCCTTCCCCAAGCTGCCTTTTTTTATTTTTTTTTATTTTATTTGAGAACATACTGTACAGAGGAGTTACAGTTACATGGGCAGGATAATGCGTACATTTCTTACCAAGCATTGCAGCCTCCTCCTTTGTTTACCCTTCACATCCCTTCCCAGCCTCCCCCCTCCCCCCCTAATCCCAATCCTTCTCCTTCTCCCCCCCCCCCCCCCCCCCCCCCGCACCAACGTTGTAAAGCTCGTTTTGGATATGACCCAAGCTGCCTTTGAACCACAACCTTCAGACCTCCTCTTCCCCCATGAGGCATTGGTGCCCAGCTCTGCCCACCCCTCCTTCTTTATAAAGGATGTCAGCCATCAGATTAGGGCCCACATGCCCCTAGTTTGTGGTCAGCTCACTACAGCTGTCATCACACTATGCTCAAAAAAGATCACCTGGGGCTGGGAAGGTGGCTTAGTGGTAGAGTGCTTGCCTAGCATGCGTGAAGCCCAGGGTTCGATTCCTCAGTACCACCTACACAGAAAATGCCAGAGGTGGCGCTATGGCGCAAGTGGTAGAGTATTAGCCTTGAGCCAAAGAAGCTCAGAGACAGCGCCCAGCCCTGAGTTCAAGCCCTAGGTCTGCCAAATACAAACAAACAAAAAGATCACACTGTTTGCTCACACAGTAGGTGACATTAAGTGTTCACCGGGCAGCCGTACCCCCCCTTCCACCTCCAGAACCTTCCACCTCCCACACTGAAGCTCTCTCCCCATTTCCCATCCAACTTCTGGCCTCTCTCTTGCCCTCTTCCTGCTGTGGGGCCTTGGGGACTCAGGCTGAGTCCCCCTCCATCCCTATTTGGGTTGGTGCATACGGGGCAAGGGAGGGATGCGGGGTCCAGGGTCCACGTCTACCCCTGCCCCTTCCTCCAGATAGATCCCCAGGGCTCCCCAGAGCAGAGCTACTCACCTTCCTCTTCCTCCCCACGCAGACTGAGGAAGAATTTGAAGTCTCTGATGATCGTCCACCCCTCCTGGTTTATTCGGACCGTGTTGGCCATCTCTCGGCCTTTCATCAGGTGAGAGCAGGAGGCTGTCACCCAGGAGCCACACCTGCTGGCGGACGCTGCACACACATTCAAAACTGTGCTAAAAATACATCGCCAAAGCCGGGCACCGGTGGCTCAACGCCTATCCTAGCTACTCAGGAGGCTGAGATCTGAGGATCCTGGTTCAAAGCCAGCCCGGGCAGGAACATCCGTGAGACTCTTATCTCCAGTAAACCACTCAGAAAACCGCAAGTGGTGCTGTGGCTCAAGTGGTAGAGGCTAGCCTTGAGCCAAAGAAGCTCAGGACAGCGCACAGGCCCTGAGTTCAAACCCCAGGAGTGGCAAGAAAAAAAATAAAGCATCTCCAAGACGGGTGGGGGCGTGTTCCCACGTTGGGGGCGTGTTTATATAAAGGGGCGTGTCCGTTTCGTGGGTGTGTCCACATGGCGTCATTGTCAGAGTGGTGGGCGTGTCTGCATGGTGGGGGCGTGCCTGATGTCATGGGCGTGTCCTGTGATGGGGCGTGTCTGGTGTTGAGCGTATCCCGCTGTGGTGGGCGTGTCCATGGAGTGGGGTGTGTTCTGCTGTGGTGGGCGTGTCTTGTGGGGTGTGTTCTGCTGTGGTGGGCAGCCCCAGTCTGGTGGGCGTGTCCACGTGGGGTATGCCCTGGTGCTGTGGGCGTGTGCTGTGATAGGACAGGCCGATGTGTGTGGGCGTGTCTCCCTGTGGTGGGCGTGTCCCATCATGGTAAGGCGCTGCTGGCCGTGGGGCGGGCTCCGTTATGGGGTATGGTTTGTTGGTAGGACATGGAGGGTCTGGCTCAATGGTACGGGGTGTGGATTGGCTCCTTTCGTTCCCTTTTTGGAAGTGTATTGGACATAATAGTGTCAACGGCTTTCTGGTCTAGGCTGGCTTGGAACTGCACTTCTCAGATCTTAGCTTCCTGAGTAGCCAGGATTATAGGTGAGAGCCACCGCCTCCTGGCTGCTAGGGACTTTTAATACTCTAGCAAGTCGTTTTTTTTCTTTTTTTGGGGGGGGGGTCGGGTCTGGTAGTGGGCCTGAATTCTGGGCCTGGGCACTGTCCCTCAGCTCTTCAGCTCAAGGCTAGTGCTCTACCACTTGAGCCACAGCGCCACTTCTGGCTTTTTTCTTTTTGCTTATGTGGTGCTGAGGAATCAAACCTAGGGCCTCAGGCATGCAAGGCAAGCGCTCTACCACTGAGCCATCTTCCCAGCCCTCAAGTCGTTTTTTTTGTTTTTGTTTTTTTGTTCTGTCAGTCGTGGGGCTTGAACTCAGGGCTTGGGTGCTGTCCCTCACTCAGCTCTTCAGCTCAGGGCTGGCACTCTACCACTTGAGCCACAGCGCCACTCCGGTTTTCTAATGGTTTATTGGAGATAAGATTCTCATGGACTTTCCTGCCGGGGCTGGCTTTGAATCGTGATCCTCAGATCTCAGCCTCCTGAGTAGCTAGGATGACAGGCGTGAGCCACTGGCACCCAGCATCCTAGCATAGTTGTTATCATGCACATCACGTACCAGTGCATAATATGCAAAGCATATAAATTCATTTGCACAGAGTACTTATTTGCATATTGAGCAGTTTGATTAGTGATGTATTTGCCTGGGTAAAGTGATGAACATGCACTTTGGTCTAAGAGAGCTGTATTTTGTCCTCAATTCCTAACTGGGTGTCATAACATTGCCTTGATTGCACCGGAGATCATTGGGAGGGGATGGCGAGCAAACTTCTCCATCTGAAGTGGAAGGAGAGGGTAGAAGCTGAGCCACCTGGGGCCTGTGCCTGATGCTATAGGTGTGTCCTTGATGGGGCGTGCCTGGTGTTTGTGGGTGTGCCCCACAGTGGTGGGCGTGTCCATGCCATGGGGCGTGCCTTAGTGTTGTGTAACCAACTTCAGCCTGGCCCATAACCCCCAGCGAGACAGAAAGCCCCATCCAACGGAAGGACAGCCTGGCTTCATGTCTTGGGCCTGATTTTCTTTGTTGGCATCGGGGCTTGAACTCAGGACCTCTTGCTCTTGCTCAGTTTTTACTCATTCATGCCTGGTGCTCTACCGCCTGAGCCATGCTGGACAGGGAGGAGCCACTCCAAAGCTCTTCTTCCTTCCTTTAAACCAGATCCCCAGCCCAGCAGGTGGCCATGTTCCACTGGCCCTTCTTTGCCAGGATTCTTTGGGGGTGGAATCTGGGGTCTACTCTGCACCCCAGGAGGAGGTGGGCATCCAGAGGGGGCATTGGGGCAAGGTGGGGGGGGATAAGCCTGTGGACCTGGTGTGTGTGTGGTCAGTCACTTGGGGACTGGTGGTGGCCGCCGGGGGGCGCCCTTCTGATCCTCTCTCCTCACTCTCCTGCAGCGTCAAGTTCATCAGTAAGATCCAGTATGTCCAGAGTCTGGAGGAGCTGGAGCACCTCATCCCCATGGAGCATGTGCAGATCCCGGAATGTGTGCTGCAGTGAGGACCCCTCCCCCCCCCTCCGCCCCCGCACCAGAGCCGGGCCTCACCTCCCAAAGGGAAGGAAGTCCCCCTCAGTGTCTACCCCGAGTCCTCCCCTCTCTTTCAGGTATGAAGAGGAGCGCCTGCGGGCTAGGAGGGAGAGGTCAGTGCTGATCTGTGAGGGCCTGGGGGGGGGGGGGAGAGGGGGGAGGGAGAGGTCAGTGCTGATCTGTGAGGGCCGCGGGGGGGGGGGGGCCAGGGGGTAAGGGGGGCCATGCAGGGTTCTCATCCCAGAATAAAGGTGTCTGCCCATGGCGGATAGAGCCTGCCTGCCTGGACAGGACTTTGGGGTCAGCTCTGGGATCAAATCCTACCTGCCCAGGCAGTTAGATGGGATAGTAGGCAGGTGAGAACATTTAACTGTTTGAACCAGGTGCAGGTGGCTCACGCCCGTAACTCTAGCTACTCAGGAGGCTGAGATCTGAGGATTGTGGTTCAAAGTCAGCCCAGGCTGGAGAGTATATGAGACTCTTATTTCCAACTAATCAGCATAAAGCTCAAGTACAGCTGTGGCTCAAGTTGGTAGAACCGCTAGCCTTGAGTGAAAAAGGCTCAGGGATAGCACCCAGGCACTGAGTTCAAGCCCTTGCACAAAATAAATAACCGGTGCAAAAAAGGGCTGGTGGGGGGCTGGGAAGGTGGCTCAGTGGTAGAGCGCTTGCCTTGCATGCATGAGGCCCTGGGTTCCATTCCTCAGCACCACATAAGCAAAAAGAAAAAGCCTGAAGTGGCGCTGTGGCTCAAGTGGTAGAGCGCTAGCCTTGAACTGAAAAGCTGAGGGACAGCGCCTAGGCCCAGAGTTCAAGCCCCACAACCGGACCCCCCAAAAAAGGGCTGGTGGCATGGTCAGGAGTCTAGAGCACCTGCCAAACAAATGAGAAGGACCTAAGACCAAAAGAAAGAAAAGGAAAAAAAAATAAGAAGAAATGCACAATGGAGCATCTGATAGGCAGCTAAGAAAAACCCCAATGACTCAGAATCTTCCTTCCCCAACTCCGTTCCTGCCTCCCCTCAAAGCACTTGATTACTTTTCTCCATCATCTCCACCTGGGGCCCAGTGCTACCCCACGGCAGGTAAATTATCTCCCAACTGTCCACAGATCACGGTCACCGCTGGCCAGAGAGGCCAGTGGGAGCCAGGGCCTCCGGAGACACGGCCCAGCTGGCCGCCTGCTCACCTGGCTCTCTCTATCCACAGCATGAGGCCCCACCCTGAATTTCTGCTGCCCAGTGCTGAGGAGAAGCCCGAGGCGGCGCTGGAGGAAGATGGGTGCGTGCCTGGGGCCCACGGTCAGGCCAAGAGGGATCACCACCGGGGACGAAGACTGGGGCTGGCTGAGAGGTAGAAAACAAAGCTAGCCTAGGCCAGCACCAGTAGCTCCCACCTGCTCAGGAGGCTGAGACCTGAGGATCACGGTTCAAAGCCAGCCCGGGGCAGGAAAGTCTTACCTTCAATTAACCACCAAAAAATGGAATGTAGAACTCTAGCCTTGAGCTAAAAAAAAATAACTCATGTGCAGTGTCTAGGTCCTGAGTTCAAGCCTCAGGATCAGCACACACACACACACACACACACACACACACACACACACACACACACACACACACACACACACACACACACACACACACACACACACACACACGTTGGCAAGTAACTCCAAGCCCCTTTTCTTCTGCCACAGGTCCACTGAGGTGACTGAAGACCAGGAAACGAGGTGGGTGAGGCTGTCCGTAGCTGGCTGCTCTGGGTGGTTTCGAACCTTGGAGTGAGGGATATGGTGACAGGCAGCCAGGAAGGCAGTGGTTATGGTTAAGCAGTGAGCCACCCCTGATCAACTGTTGCAAAGACCAGGGTGCTAGTTTGACCCTATGCTGTGTAACGTAGCCATGTTGTCCAATATAGCTAGGTCCCCTCCCCCCCTCCCCCAGCCCATGAGATCCACCTGGTTCTGGATTTCTAAAGAAATATCGTATATGGGGAGCCCCAGGGCCACCCCCAGATTGAATGGTTCCCAGGCAGGACTTGCAGGAGTCTGCAGAGCTATTATATTCATGGCTGTGGTGCAGCTGGTGCGTGGCAGTGTGCAGGAGAGAATAGGAAGAAGTTTCTAGAGTCCTCTGGGAGTGGAGCTTAGGGACAGCTCGTCATTTTTCGCAGCAAGGGAGTGTGACAACCCGCACAGGACGCTGCCCGGGAGAAAAAGGTCACCTGGGTCCTGTGTCCAGGGACTCACTGCACGTCAGCCGTGTCCAGCCCTTTGGGGAGGTCCAGCTGACCCCACGTGATACCAGCGGCACCCCAGGTCACCTCCTGGGCATGCAGTCTGTGGCGATCGCCAGGCTCCGGGTGGACTCCTACCAGGCAGGATGCATATGCCAGAGGTCAGAGACTAGATTTAGAAGATGGCCAAGGGCCCAAAGCTTCTTTAGCATATGTGGGGTTGCCGGGCTCCAGTGGCTCACGCCTGTAATCCCAGCTACTCCGGAGGCTGAGATCTGAGGACCACAGTTTGAAAAGACCCTGGAAAGACCCTGACAGTCTTATCTCCAATTAACCACCAAAAAGCCAGAAGTGGAGCTATGGCTCAAGGGCTAGAGCTCTAGCTTAAGCGCGTGCATGCATGTGCGCGTGCATACACACACACACACACACACACACACAGCAGCTCAGAGACAGTGCCCAGGCCATGAGTTCAAGCTCCAGGATTGGGGGTGGAGGGAGTACAGAGTTAATGCTTGCCTGACAACAATTCTGCAAGTCTGACCTGGCTCCAGTGTCTGCCTTGGTGACTCAGAGAGCACCAAGTTAAGAAATGAACGCCAACAGTGGTCTGAAGCCGCAGAGCCTCCCTATGCAGCCAAGTAAAGGAAGCTAGCTCCCTGTGCGCTTGTGAAAGACCTTGACCCAAGCGCGGTGGGCTGGAGCTCACACAAGGAAATCATCCACCAGGAGCGAATGTCAGCAAGCCACCACCGGCAGGACTAGATCCTCCCCTGGGAATACTTAGTGGGAGATCATAAAAACAAGCATGCTCACAAGACTAGAAACGCAAAGTGAGAAATTGGAGATGGATGGATGGATGGATGATGGCTAGATGGGTGGATGGATGGATCATGGATTCGTGGATGGATGAGTGGGTGGACAGATGGATAAGTAGATTATGGATGGGTAGATGAATGGATGGGTGGGTAGGTGGGTGGGTGGATAGATGGGGGTGGATGGATGGGTGGGGGTGGATGGGTGGGGGGTGAGGGAATGGGTGGGTGAATGGATGGATGGGTGAATGGATGGGTGGGTAGATGGATGTGTGGGTGGGTGAGTGGATGGATGGGTGAATGGGTGGGTGGGTAGATGGATGTGTGAGTGGGTGAGTGGATGGATGGATGGGTGGGTGGGTGGATGGATGGATGGGTGGGTGGGTGGGCAGGTGGATGGATGAATAGATGGATGGATGGTGGGTGGATGGATGGGTGGGTGGGTGGGTGGATGGATGGATGGGTGGGTGGTGTCTGGAGGCTCTCTCTAGTGTGACTCAGCAGGAGACCCCCTGGGTCTGGTTTTCTGCTGGGCCCCAGAAGTGGCAAGACCACTACGTGGGGACCGGTGGCCAACTCTGCAGCTTACTGAAGCGGGTGACCGCGTGGAGGAGCCTCTTCCGCTTGACACACAGTAATGACCCTCCTGGCTTGCGTTCCCTGCTCCAGCATGTCCTGAGACAGCGGGTGCCTGGAGAAGGCCACGAAAGACGATTCCAGACGTGGAGGAACCTGTCAGACACCCTCCGGTCCCAGGTCCCCTCCGGCCTCCACCCGAGCGCATCCCCCGGGGCGCCAGCCTCCACCACCCGCCTCCGAAGCCCAGTGTTCTTTTACTTAACAAACAAACAAACAAAAAGTGCAGTATTAGCATGTTGGAGAAAGGACCAGGTTCTCAGCCCTCCATCCTTCCACACCCACAAGCCAAGGAAGGTTCCAGAGCCTTCTCTCACCTGCTACCAACGCCCACCAGCCCTGGCTGGCCCTGGGGGCTTCTTCTTTCCCGTGCCTTCCATTGTATGACTCCACCCTGTGGTGTGTGGCCTGCTGCCCTGGACACTTACCGCCCTCCCCCACACACACACTGTGCCACACCTTCGGGGTACCCCCGGCCTGTGACCTCACACCCCAAATCCACAGCTCTAGTCTCATCTGACAGCCCCCATCTGGAAACGTGCCACCCCCCCCATCTCCTTTTCCTAGGGAGGCTCAAAACCCATAGCACAAATGAGAACTGTCCTGTGACTGCATCTAGAACATTCTAAAGTCCCTTTGAATGCTGACCATGCCACGGCACAGGGGTGAGCTTGGGGGTGGGAACTCCTCCGTCTCCCCAACTGTCGCCAAGCTGGGAGTCGTCACATAGGCTCCTGCACCCTCGGAAATAAACTGGGAAAGGAAAACGGGGGTTCCTGGGGCATCTGGAAACTCGCTTGGAGGGAAAATTGAAATGTCCATGGAATGCAAGAACCCCATCGCCATCTGAGAGCGCGTCGCTCTGGGGTGACGCAAGCCTGCGCTTGCGCCCCCCCTCCCTGAGCCTCACCGGAGACCCCCAAGAACGGGGCGCCCCCCATCTCTGGAGATCTAAGGGGAGCCTGCAAGTGCTACCTGTACTCCAGGCTGGAGACTTCAGCAGCCCTGAATCTGAGCGGGCAGCGGGGGTGGACACGGCGGCCTGCCACAACCAGCCGTCCAAGAAGGTTCTCGAAATGCCCAACATCCCAGGACCTGCGACAGCAGAGGAGTGTGTTTTGGAGTGACTGCTGGCACTTAGTGCTGAGAGAGGGGCAGAATGGTCCAGAACCAGAGTCGGGGCAATTGGAGTCTTAGGCCTTGTGCTCTGACCCTGAGAAATGCCAGGTTTTTCCAGTCAGCTGGGGCCTGCAGACTCCACCAGGGAGTAGAGGGGGTTCAGGGCTGTCCTTTGACATCTTGGGGATCCCCAGTGAGCCCGAAACCTTTGGAAATCTGGTGTGTTTTGTTTTCCATTCCCCAAGTAGCAAGTGAAAAAGACAGGGACGGTGGCCCAGGTGTTTGTGTCACCTGTAGCCCGAAGCAGCAGTGGCTGGCGGACGGGCCACGCGGTGGCCCGGTCAACCTGGCTCTCGCTTCTCCCACACAAGGCCTCTTACAAAAGGTGATGCTGGGGCGGGGGGCTGGCTGTCAGAGAGCCACAGGTGGGCCCGAGGCCCAGGCTGTTACTCTAGTGAGTGACCTCAACTCTCAAGCTAATGGGAGGTAACAGAATGTAGGTAGACCAGGCTCCAGTGGTTCACATCTGTAATCCCAGCTACCCAGGAGGCTGAGATTGGAGGACTGAAGTGCGAAGCCAGCCCCAGCAACAACGTCCATGAGGTTTTGATCTCGAATTATAATCACCAAAAAAGTCCGAAGGGGAGCTGTGGCTCAAGTGGTAGAGCACCTACCTTGAATGAAAAAGCTCAGAGAAAGCACCCAGTCCCTGAGTTCAAGCCCCAGGATTCGCACAAAAAAAAAAAAAGGGGAAGAAAGAAAACAAGATGACAGCCGGGCACCAGTGGCTCACACCTGTCATCCTAGCTACTCAGGAGGCTGAGATGTGAGGATCACGGTTCAAAACCAGCCTGGGCAGGAAAGTCCCATGAGACTCTTCTCGCCAGTGAACCACCAGAAAACCAGAAGTGGCGCTGTGGCTCGGGTGGTAGAGCACTAGCCTTGAGCAAAAGAGCTGAGGGACAGCGCCCGGGCCCCGAGTTCAAGCCCCACGACCAAAAACAACAAAGATGACAGAAATCACGAAGGTACCATGAGAATGGTACTTCTGGGAAATGTCAGGTTCCTGGTGACCAAAGCTGGATTACTCCACTGAAAACCTTGTCGGTAACACGAAGCTGTGACACCCCAATCTTTATCAAAGAAAATAGAAGCCAGGAATACAACAGGCCTCACCCCACCCACACTGGTGATTTATTACCGAGTGGAAGGGGACAGAGCGTGCACACTTACTCAGTCTAAGGAGACTGCAGGCTGAAGATGCTGCTGCCCCCCCCAGGAAACATGGGGACCCCCTGCTCGGCCACGGGGGTGCACCTACCACCCCTCCCACACCACCAGCACCCACAGATGATGGGTAAAGCAAATAAAAGACCCGCTTCAACTAGGCCACAGCTGTTGCTCCAGAGGGAGGAGGGGATCCCAGGGGCGCCTCCAGCGATCGCTCACCCGTCAGCAGGTGTGAGGTTAGCTCCAGCCAGTCAGAGCTGCTACATGGACCTGGTAAAATTGGTTTTGCCATAGCTTTGTATCAGGCGGTGGGGGGGGGGGGGAATTTGGGCCAAAAGGCAAAGGACACCCCTCTTCCTACCAGCCCTGTTTGTAAAGGGACACTGGATATTTTTTTTCCTTGTGGTTTTACTTTAAATTGTTATTATAAAGGTGATGTACAGAGGACACTGGATTTTTCTCTCTCTGGGGCACCTGGAATACATGCTAATATCCACCTTTCCCACAGTGAGACTTGGGGGTTTCAAAATGCGGAGAGAGGGCCAGGGTGAGGTGAAGCCGCTGTATGAGGGATTTCCTGTGACCTAAATAAAGCGTGGCTGAGAGGAAGTCCCGCCCCTTTCTCTGTTGCCAAGGGACAGGGCTTGGGCAGTTCCAAGAGAAGAGCCTCAGCCTGATTGGCGGGGAGCAGCCCAGGGGGAGGCCCTGTGGCGAGTAGCTGTCTCCTGCTACAGCCCCGTGTGGCCTGCCACAGAATCAGAGGTCTGGGCTTCTTGGATGGTCAGAGTGGGGTTTCCCAGGACCGGGCTTTGGGATCATTGGGAGACACCCAAACAGGTGCCATGTGCCAAAAAAAACCAGTGTCGGTCCCAAGTGTACGAGGGGTGCGGGCAGGTGAGCTCACCTGGTTTGCCATGCTCTTCCAAGGACGTCTGAAGAGTGATCCATCCCGAAGGAGTAGTGTCATGGAGTGAGGAGCAGGTGCCCAGGCCAAGGTGGACACAGGGCAGGGCGGGAGGAGGTTGCCAAGGGGCAGAGCTGGGCTGGGGTCTAAGGTTCCCTAGTCTGAGGGTAATCAAATCCTTTTCCCAGTCGGGCACGGTGGCTACCGCCTGTCATGCTAGCTACTCAGGAGGCTGAGATTTGAGGATCACGGTTCAAAGCCAGCCCAGGCAGGAAAGCCCATGAGACTCTTATCTCCAATGAACCACCAGAAAACCAGAAGTGGCGCTGTGGCTCAAGTGGTAGAGCGCTCACCGTGAGCTGAAGAGCTGAGGGACAGCGCCCAGACCCAGAGTTCAAGTCCCAGGACCAACTGGAGAAAACCTGTTTTGTGGATACTGGGGCAGAACCCAGAAGTAAATTGCACACCTGGTCCTTTTTTTTTTTTTTTTTAAATAAGGTGAATTAATTCATGTAAAATTAACCTTCTGATTCTTTGTGATGGTACCAGAGTTTGAAATCAGGGTCTCTTGCTTGCTAGGCAAGCACTCTCTCACTCGAGCCACGCCCCTACCGCTCAAGCCACGCCCCTACCGCCTAAGCCACGCCTCACCTCTGGAGTCACACGGGTGCTCTGGGCACGCCCATCGCGTGGCCACGCCCATCTGAGCCCCGCCCCCGCCGCTTGGGCCCTGGCCCTGCCACCTGAGCAGCCAGCCCTAAAACTAGCCATTTTTTCTATGTCCATTCGGATCACCTGGTAGGACAGGAAGCCAGAGAGCAGGCAAGAGCCGGTCTTGTTCTTTTCTAACCACCTTTATTTGGAGAAGTGAGCAGAGAGAGATGGGAGGCAAGATGGCGGCGTAGAAGCTGTCTCCTTGGAACCCCAAAAGAAGGAGAAGAGTCCGTCTTGAAGTGTCTGTATTCAGGGGAGAAAAAGAGGAGAGCCCTGAGAACCAACCAACAAGCCGAGGGGACACCCTGCACAAGAGCCACGGGATAAACCAGTCCCGGCATTCCCAGAGCTCCCCATACCAAGTAGAGGGTGGCAGCTGAGGCCCGGCATGCACCCCCACAAGCCTGAACCCAAAGTGACAAGCCAGCCCTGGACATAACAGCCCTGTGCTCCTCAGATCTCACAGAGATCTTGGGCGAGGGCTAAAGTCCTGGGGTGGGGAAGGCTTGAACTCAAAAAGCCTTAACAAGCCAGGGGGATGGCTCACACCGGTCATTCTAGCTGGAGATCTGAGGATCGTGGTTCAAAGCCAGCCCCGAGTACATGAGACATATCTCCAATGAACCACCAGAAAACTGGAAATGATGCTGTGGCTCAAAGTGGTAGAGCACTTGTCCTTGAGCACAAAAGCTCAGGGACAGCGTGTAGACCCTGAGTTCAAGCCCTACAACCACCACCACCAACAACAACAAAGCCATAACAGCTCAGGGTGTCCTGAGACACCCCTAAGGGTGACCAAGAGGAAGATGGCCAGAAGAGGCTCATGGGAAAGGAGAGTCTGAACTGGGACTTAATCTGTGTGTGTGTGTGTGTGTGTGTGTGTGTGTGTGTGTGTCTGTGTCTGTGTCTGTGTGTGTGTACTGGTAACTGGGATTTGAACTCAGGGCCAGAATGCTGTTCCTGAGAGCTTTTGGCTCAAGGCTAGCACCACAGCTAGAGCCACAGCTCCATTTCTGGCTTTTTTGGTGGTAGAGTCTCATGGACTTTTCTTCCTTGGCTGGCTTTCAACCATGATCCTTTGATCTCAGCCTCCTGAATAGGACTGCAGTCAATCACAATCTGCCAGACCCCAGTAGACCTTTTGGGTTTTTTTTTTGGAGACAGCATCTCACTGCATAGCCAAGGCTGGCCTGGAACCCATGATCTTCCTGCACAGGTGTGCATCACCACACCCAGCGCCTGCCTCACATCATCCCAAGCTCCCACAGCGACAGCCCAGGTGACTCAGGTCACCCCGTGATTATGCCTTGTATGGCTCTGGTGTCCTGCTGAGAAGAATGTGTGGCCAGGCTGGGAAGATTATCCATTCAAAGCCATCTTGAGAGTCACTTAACACTGGATCCTAAAGTCACAGGTGCTCCCACGGCCTGATGCGTGGGGCTCCCCAGTGGCATGGGGAAGGAAGATCGCAAGCTGGAGCGGGTGGCTTCGAACTGGGATCCTCAAGCGCTTAACTGGTGTCTTCCTTCCTTCCTTCCTTCCTTCCTTCCTTCCTTCCTTTCTTTCTTTCTTTCTTTCTTTCTTTCTTCCTTTCTTTCTTTTCTTTCTTTCTTTCTTTTCTTTCTCTTTCTTTCTTGTCAGGGTCAAGGCAGGAGACAGAGGCAAGCCAGGCCAGTGTGATATTTTTAGGGAGGGAAATCGCATGGAGGGTGACCTGAGTTCTCTGGCCCATATGTGGGAGGGGGAAGGGAGAAGGGGGGGAAGACTTTCATGGACCTGGACCTGAGGGGGGGGGGGGGTGGAGGCTGGAGTCCAGCCCTTTAGCTCCTGACTTGTGACTAATTTAGGTGAAAGGCAGAATCTAGAGCTATTTCCACCCCGGGGAACAGGTGCTCAACCCCCCCCACCCTCACCCTCCCCCCCACCTCCCTTGCCATCACCCGGGCTTGGGGCCTCCTCCCTGGAGATTGCCTCCAGGACTATAAAGGCCCTGGGTTTTGTCAATGAAGCCAGGACACCCCGGCGGGGCAGGCAGGCAAGGGCTGGCTGCACCCCGCTGGAGCTGCTTGGGCTGCAGTTAAGCACAGTGTCCCCAACCCCATCCCCGTCCCCCCAACCTTCTGCAGACATGAAGATTGTCATCGTTGGCATTGGAGGGTGAGCGCAGAGGGCTGGGGCTGGGGTGGGGTGGAACGGAGAGGTACAAGGGGAGGGCACTAAGACGACCTGGGAGGGAATTGAGGTTGGTTGCCTGCTGCCCACTGCCCTGTCTGTCTGTCTGTCTGTCTGTCCATCTGGCTGGCTGTAACACTTTCTGTCTCTGAATGATGAGAGAGGTTTGGTCCCCAATGGGGAAGGAGAATGGGATCCAAGGTATGATTTTACAAACAGGAAGGTATTTCTTTTTCTCTGATTTTACTCAGGGTCACAAACAAACAAAAAAGGCATGGTAGTGCATGCCTGTAGTTCTAGCATTGGAAGGGAAAGGGTGGGAGGATCAGAAGCTAAAGGCCAGTCTAGACTCTTGTCTTAAAAATAAATAAGGGCTGGGAAGGTGGCTCAGTGGTAGAGTGCTTGCCTAGCATGCATGAAGCCCTGGGTTCGATTCCTCAGTAGCACATACACAGAAAAAGCCAGAAGTGGCACTGTGGCTCAAGTGGCAGTGTGCTAGCCTTGAGCACAAAGAAGCACAGGGACAGCGCCCAGCCCTGAGTTCAAGCCCCAGGTCTGGAGACAAAAATAAATAATTAATTTAAAAAAATCAGTAAGAAGCCGGGCACCAGTGTCTCACACTTGTCATCCTAGCTGCTCAGGAGGCTGACAGCTGAGGATCACCGTTCAAAGCCAGCCCGGGAAGGAAAGTCCATGAGACTCTTATCTCCAATAAACCACCAGAAAACCGGAAGTGGTGCTGTGGCTCAAGGGGTAGAGCGCTCGCCTTGAGCTGAAGAGCTCAGGGACAGCGCCCAGGCCCAGAGTTCAAGCCCCACGACCGACCAAAAAAAAAAAAAAATCAGTAAGAGAAGAATCTAGACAGGCAGGCAGACCCTGCTGAAGGGAGGGAGGAGACACAGTGTAAGTCCATGGCGGGAGCGGTGTCCCTAACATGGCATCATACCAGACCTTGGATGAGCCATTGTGGGGCATTTTCTTGTAACATATAAGGGCACCCCCTTGTATGGGGAGAGGGTTTAGCAAGTTCCCATTTCCTCCATCTCTGCTACAACTGGGGCAGAGGCCACTGACTTCTAGAAAGTTCCTGAGTGTGTCCAGCCCCACCAGTTAGATCAAGACGCCACCATGACCCACTGACTGCTTTCCCCACTATCTCCCTGGGGTCTGGAGACACTCCATGTTCCAACCAGAGACCTGCTGGGCGCCAACGGCTCACACCTGACATCCCAGCTACTGAGGAGGCTGAGATCTGAGGACAGGGGTTCAAACCAGCCCAGGCAGGAAAGGCCATGAGACTTTTTTTTTGTTTTGGTCGGTCGCGGGACTTGAACTCTGGGCCTGGGCGCTGTCCCTCAGTTCTTCAGCTCAAGGCTAGCGCTCTACCACTTGAGCCACAGCGCCACTTCCGGCCTTTTCTTCATATGTGGTGCTGAGGAATGCAACCCAGGGCCTCATGGCTCTACCACTGAGCCACCTTCCCAGCCCAGTGGTAGGCTGGCACTCTGCCACTTAGTGAACTGGAGATTTGGGTCTCTAGGACTTTTCTGCTTCAACTGGTTTTGAGCTTGTGATCGCCCGTGTCAGCCTCTGTTGCTGGAACCCACATTTTTCTTTGGAGATAGAGTCTCTCACTTTGTAACCCACAGTGAAAAACTTCTCTATCTTTCTACCTCAGACTCCTGAGGGCAGGGAGTAAAAGTATGAACCATACACGGCTCATTTTCTATTTAGAAGAAGAAGGAAGGAAGGAAGGAGGGAGGGAAGGAGGGAGGGAGGGAGGGAGGGAGGGAGGGAGGGAGGGAGGGAGAAACAAAGAAAGAAAAGAAAAAAGAGAAAGAAAAGTCAGAAAGTCAGGGGTCTGTGGCTCACGCCTGTAATCCCAGCTTACTCAAAGGCTAAGATCTGAGGATTTCGGTTGGAAACTAACCCTGGGCAGGAAAGCCCCTAAGGCTCTTAGCTTCAATTAAGCACCAAAAAGTCCACAGTATCAGACTCTGAACCGGGGCCTGGCACTCTCTAGACAGGCGCTGTGTCCTTTGAGTCAGGCCTGGACCCTTTTTACTTGTGTTGTTTCTCCATAGTGTCTCTTTGTTGTTTGGCCTGGGGCTAGCCTCAGACCTCAGCTGGGATGATAGGTGCACACCACCAGGCCTGGCTTCTTAGTTAAGGTGAGGGTCTCCATAACTGTTTTTCCTAGAGTGTCTCAGAAGCTCAGTCTCCCTGAGTAGCTGAGGTTACAGGCATCAGCCATGGCACCAAGCCTGGGCAATCCCAGGCCACAGCCTAACTCCAGATCTCTCGGCAGAGTAACCAACAGCGGCAAGACGACGTTGGCCAGCCGCCTGCATGCAGCGCTGCCCAACTCCTGCGTGATCCACCAGGATGACTTCTTCAAGGTGACGCCCTTGGGGGGCGCCCGGGGGTCATTGGGGGTCACCAGGGGCTGAGCCAGGGTACAGACCCTCCCATTTCCCAACTGGGAGGTCCCTGCCCAGCCCCGGGAGAGCCAGGACCAGGAGAATTGGGGACAGTGTGTTCTTTCTTTTCTTTTTTCCTGGTGCCAGATGTAGGACTTGAACTCAGAGCCTGGGCGCTGTCCCTGAGCGTTTTTTTTGTTGTTGTTGTTTGTTTTTGCTCGAGACTGGCACTTGACCACTTGAGCCACAAACGCCACTTCTGGCTTTTTGCTGGTTCATTGGAGAGAAGAGTCTCATGGACTTTCCTGTCCCCAGGGCTGGCTTTGAACCACCATCCTCAGATCTCAGCCTCCTGAGTTGCTGGGATGACAGGCGGGCGCCACGGGACTGGGTTGAATAGCACAAAAAAAAAAAAAAAAAAAAAAAAAGACTAGAGTGCTGGTGGCTCACACCATTCCCAGCTGCAATGGGCCACTGCTCAGTGGGTGACGTTAGCTGGGACCCCTGCCCCCCAACCTCTCCCTGCGGGAGCCTCAAAGGAGTGAGCACTGAGCGCCTGGCTTGGGCTGCTCTGTTTCAGCCCCAGGACCAAATACCAGTTGGGGAGGATGGCTTCAAAAGATGGGACGGTAAGGATGGCCGCCACCCCCCCATTCCCCATGCCCCCCCCTGTTTCCTCCCCTGCTCCCCCACCCCCACGGTCCCTGGCCCTCTTCCCACTCCCGCCCTCCTCTCCCACAGTGCTGGAGTCCCTGGACATGAAAGCCATGCTGAGCACTGTGAAGGCCTGGGTGCAAAATCCCCCGAAATTTGCCCGCTCCCACGGGGTCACAGTCCAGCCCAGCGCCTCTGACACCCACATTTTGCTTCTGGAAGGATTCTTGATCTATAGCTACAAGTGAGTGTCTGACACCTCCCTGCCCTCCACCCTTGGGGAAGGGGGCCAGAGGAGGGAGTCTAGAGAACCTTCTAGAACCTCAGCCTGCTTAGGCACAGCAATCAACTGGGAAGGTGGGTCTGCTTTGCTGTGTGACCTGGGACAGCGCAATGTACCTCTCTGGACCCATGTAATTGGGGGCGCGGGAGACCAGGGCCTGCCCTGTCTGACCCTGTGTTCCCCACACACGCTCCTGACCCCTGTCCAGGCCTCTGTTGGACTTTTATACCCGCCGGTACTTCCTGACTGTCCCCTACGAGGAATCCAAGCGGAGGAGAAGGTGAGGGGCATTCTGGGGAAGGGCTGGGACCCCAAGTGGGAAGAGGGAGATGCAGGCTGGCCTATGGCCAGCCCGGGCAGCAGGCGCTGGGCCCACCCAAAGCCCTAGCTAGGCTCAACCCATCCTTTCCTGGGCATCTCCTAGGTCCCCCCAGAAGGGGATCCTGACCTAGATGCCCTTCTTCTGGGGAGATTGGGGAATCCCAGGACCTGGCACAATCCTCAAATAAAAAAAAACACTTGTTCCAAAGCTGGGTGCAGTTGGCTCACGCCTGTGATCCCAGCTACTCAGGAGGCTGAGATGTGAGGATTGAGGTTCAAAGCCACCTGGGCAGGAAAGTCCGTGAGACTCTTATCTCCAATAAACCACCAGAAAACTGGAAGTGGTGCTGTGATTCAAGTAGAGCGCTAGCAGGGCTGGGAAGGTGGCTCAGCGGTAGAGCACTTGCCTTGCATGCCTGAGGCCCTGGGTTCGATTCCTCAGCACCACATTAGCAAAAAGAAAAAAGCCGAAGTGGCGCTGTGGCTCAAGTGGTAGAACGCTAGCCTTGAGCTGAAGAGCTGAGGGACAGCGCCCAGACCCAGAGTTCAGGCCCCACAACCGGACCAAAAAAAAAAAAGTAGAACGCTCACCTTGAGCTAAACAAGCTCATGGACAGCACCCAAGCCCTGAGAGTTCAAGCCCCACAACCCTCCAAAACAGTCCACACACAGACACCCCCACACACAACTTGTTCCCTGTTGCCCGGCCCCCTCTGCAGTACCCGCAAGTACCCAATCCCCGACCCCCCAGGCCTCTTTGATGGACATGTGTGGCCCATGTACCAGAAATATAAGCGGGAGATGGAGGCTGACGGCGTGGAAGTGGGTAAGAAGTCTTTGACCCAGGGCTGGGAAGGTGGCTCAGTGGTAGAGTGCTTGCCTTGCATGCATGAGGCCCTGGGTTCGATTCCTCAGCACCACATAAGCAGAAAAAGCTGGAAGTGGCGCTGTGGCTCAAGTGGTAGGGTGCTAGCCTGGAGCTGAAGAGCTGAGGGACAGCATTCAAACCCCGAGTTCAAGCCCCATGACTGACAAAAAGAAAGCCTTTGACCCGGATGAGGCTATGCCCCAGAGTGGAAGGAAAGGGGTACTCTGAGCTCAGTCTCTGCCCATGCTCCTCTCCATTCTCCATTTGAGAAACGTGGAAGTCCCTCCTTGAATCTCACCCTAGTCCTTCTTGCTGTTGGTCCCAGAGACTCTTCCATCCTGTTTCCTGACCCAGCAGTCTGCCTTCTTAGAAAAGCCCTGACTCTGGTTTTTCTAATTCCAGTCCATTTGGATGGCATGAAATCCCCAGGAGATCTCTTCCTTCAAGTCCTGGAAGAAATTCAGAACTCCCTCCTCAACTGCTCCTAGCTGTGGCCGACCCTGCCACCCATGATTCCAGCCACAGACTGGCCAGGCCTGCGGCAGCCAGGCCACGTGCTGTGACCATTTTCCCTTTGGGGAAGTCTGTACAGAGAATGGGGAGGGGGAATGCCAACTCACCCCGGCACCGCAGGGCCCCGGGGTCCAGCCCTAGCACACCTCTGCGCCATGCCACTCCTCAGTATTAAATCGGTCCTATTTTTATAACCCTCGAGGCCCGGCCTGTTCTGTTCAAGGGGCCTCTGAAGCCTCTCCCAGCTCCCTAAAATGGCTCTGGAAGCCGGGTGCCGGTGCTCATGCCTGTAATCCTGGCTATTCGCAAGTTGAGATCTGAGGATGGTGGTTTGAAACCAGACTGGGCAGGAAAGCCTATGAGACTCTTATCTCCAATGAACCACCCAAAAGCCCGAAGTGGAGCTATGGATCAAGTGGTAGAACACCAGCCTGAGCAAAAGAGCTCAGGGACAGTGCCCAGGCCCTGAGTTCAAGCTACATAACTCTCCCCCGCCTCCCCAAAAAAAAGGCTCTGAAGATACCACCAAAAGCCCTGAGCACACAGGGATCCCCTGGAGCCTCAGTTTCCCCAAATGGCAAGCTTCCCATGGGCTTCTAACCCACAGCCAGGGTGTCAGCACTGAATGTTCTTCCATCCTGTCCTTGTTTGGCCTCCCTGAGCCGTCCTGGCAGCCAGCATAGTTGGGTGGAGCTACGCTTTGAACCCAGGACTCTCATTGTTTTCGCCTGGGGTGGAGACCCCCCCCCCCCCCCCCCCCCCCCGGCTTGCACTGACAGGGGATTGAGCCGACAGCGACATCTCATGGCCACCCGTGGAATTGCAGACACCCCAAACTCACCACCTCTTCTGCTGACCACCCCCAGCCCCAGCCCAGAAAAAGCCTACCACTCACTTGAGTCCACACAAGGTGATTCACACATGGAAATGGGTAGAAAAATGGCAAGAAGGGTGAATTACCACATGACCTAGCAATGCCACTCCTTCAGATAGACCCAAAATAGGCACTGGGGGCTCATGTCCATAATTCCAGCTACTGAGATCTGAGGACTGCGGTTCAAACCCAGCCTGGTCAAGAAAGTCTGTGAGACTCTTGTCTCCAATTTACTACCAAAAAGCCAGAAGTGGAGCTGTGGCTCAAGTGGTAGAGCACTAGACTTGAGCAAAAACCCCAAGCGAGAAAACGTGAAGCCTTGAGTTCAAGTCCGGGTGCCGGCACACACGTAGTGAAAATACATAGTCTCAAACACAAACATGTGCCAAAGCATTCATAGTATCCAAATGGTGGGAACAGCACAGTGTCCATCATGTGAAGATAGAGAGTGGTAATTCACACACTGGAATATTACCCAGCCAGGAACAGAACAAGGCCGTGCCCAGTGGTATAACGTGGAGGGACCCTCAGGCCACCAGGCTCAATGAGAGAAACAGACACAAAAGGCCTGGCAGAGCCGGGCACCAGTGGCTCACGCCTGCAATCCTAACTATCTCAGGAGGCTGAGATCTGAGGATCACGGTTCAAAGCCAGCTGGGGCAGGAAAGTCCATGAGACTCTTGTCTCCAATTAACCACCAGAAAACCGGAAGTGGCGCTGTGGCTTGAAGTGGTAGAGTGCTAGCCTTGAGCGAAAAAGCTCAAGGACAGTGCTCAGGCCCTGAGTTTAAACCCTACCACTGAGAAGAAAAAAAAAGTCTCACAACGTGTGCTTCCATGGACAGAAAGCATTTGGAACAGGTGCATCTGGAGATAAGAAGAGGACCTGCTCACAGGGGTCGGGCTGGGGAGGGGCCAGGCTTCCTTGCTGTGTGTGTGTGTGTGTGTGTGTGTGTGTGTGTGTGTGTGGTGTGTATCATGGGGCTTGAACTCAGAGCCTGTGCACTGTCCCTGAGCCTTTTTGCTCAAAGCTAGCACTCTACCACTTGCCCACAGCACCACTTCCAGTCTTTTGCTGGTTCATTGGAGATAAGCGTCTCACAGACTTTCCTGCTCAGGCTGACTTTGAATCACAGTCCTCAGATCTCAGCCTCCCGAGTAGCCAAAATTATGAGTGTGAGCCACCAGTGCCTGGAGTGGCAATGTTTCGTGCCTTCTTAGTGTTTATTTATTGGCTTATTTTCTAGAGCTGAAAACCAAGTCCTTTGCCTGCTGAGCACACGTTCACCACTGAGCTAACTCACTGTACATTTAACAATAATCAGCAAGGCCGGGTGCCGGTGGCTCACACCTGTCATCCTAGCTACCCGGGAGGCTGAGATCTGAGGATCACAGTTCAAAGCCAGCCAGGGCAGGAAACTCTGTGAGACTCTAATCTCCAATAAACCATCAGAAAACTGGAAGTGGTGCTGTGGCTCAAGTGGTAGAGCACTCACCTTGAGCTGAAGAGCTCTGGGATAGAGTTCAAGCCCCACGACCAACCAAAAAAAAAAAAAAATCAGTGAGAAAAAAAAAAATAAACCCAAGAAGATAAAGTCTATAAATTCTATTTTTCCAGCACACACCATCTATGGTGCTCACATCAGCACCTATAAATAAAGTTTTATTGGCACACAGCTCTGCCCACTTATGTGCATGTGATTTGTGTGGCGCTATTCACAGCAGATTGTGTGTGGTCTGCAAAACCCATGTGTTTCCCATCTGTCCCTCTGCAGAGGCTGTAGCCAGGAGGTGTGGGGAGAGTGGAGGACTGTGGGGGACACCGCTGGGGCTGGCTGGGGCCTGGAGGGCATGGATGAGCTGGCCCCCAGGACGATGGGGCAGCCCGCCAAGCCTTGTCCTTTGCTGAGGCATACAGGGTGATCCGAATGATCTTCTGGTCACTGGGCCCAAAATAGTCCAGGCTGGGCCACAGGGACATGGAGAGGAGGCTCTAGGACAGCCGGACACTGCATGGCCACCAAGGGGCTATGGACAGTGTAGTTAAAAGGAAGGAAGGAGCAGGAGGAAGCCAGCAGCATATGGTAACAGCTAAGCGAGCCGGTGGCTCACACCTGTCATCCCAGCTACTCGGGAGGCTGAGATCTGAGGATCAAGGTTTGAAGCCAGCCTGGGAAGTCCCTGAAACTCTTATCTCCAATAAGTAGTGCTGTGGCTCAAGTGGTAGAGCGCTCGCCTTGAGGTGAAGAGCTGAGGGACAGCGCCCAGGCCCAGAGTTCAAGCCCCACAACCGACAAAAATAAACAAACAAACAAATTAATTAATTAACCTCCCCATACACCCCCAAAAAATACCATGACAACTAGACATGCTTGCTGGGCGCCGGTGGCTGACACCTGTCATCCCAGTTACTCAGGAGGCTGAGATCTGAGCATCATGGTTCAAAGCCAGCTCGGGCAAGAAAGTCCATGAGACTCTTCTCTCTAATGAAGCAGCAAAAAGCCAGAAGTGGTGCTGTGGCTCAAGTGGTAGAGCACCAGCCTTGAGCACAAAGAGGCCCAGGGACAGTGCCCAGGGCCTGAGTTCACGCCCAGGGCCAGCGCGCGCACACACACACACACACACACACACACACACACACACACACAATTCTACCCTTCCCACAAAATCCTAAGAGCCAGAAACAGAGAAAGACAAAACCCCAGCAGGTCCCCGGCAGCAAAGAGGTGCCGAGGCCCGTGAGCCCGGCATCTGTCACCCATGTCAAGTAGCACTCAGCCACCTCTTAATCAGCAGTTACCACACCCCCACCGCACAGGTCACCCCATTACCCTTCCAGCCACTGGGCCCCGAAAGGAGGGGGTTCCTCAGGGATGTCTGGGGTGGGGGGTCAGCCAGGGCCAGGGGGAGGAGCTGGAGGAAAGAACCAGAAGCGAACACCCTCAGACACCCCCACACAGCCCACCAGGGCCCCTCCAAACCCTTCCGGCGCTCCCCACATCCACCCAGCACTCCTGAGTGGGGGTGAGGACTCCCCGATTCTACCCAGAACTCTTCTTTGGGGGAGCTGAGGGCTCCCCAGAAGCAACCTTAATTCCCAGTGTCTCCAAGTAGCTTCTCCTGTGCTGAAGTCTGGGAAAAAACTGGAATGACGAAAGGCGAGGGTGCTCTGCCTTCTGAGATTGGGGGCACGGGGGAGTCAGGAGGTGCACACGGGGGGCTCCTCTTCAAAATATAAAGCCTTGGGGGGGGGACAGGAGAAGGTCTTGACGGAGGAGGGAGAGAGATTTCACCTTAGTCCCCCAGCAATGTACTCATGCAATTTTGGGGTCTCCTGGCCTGGCACGGGGGTCCCCAGCTCTGTCCCCAGGGACTGGAGGGAGAGCCTGGACTCCAGACATTTTGACCACCCTTTCTTCTTCCTCTTCCTCCTCCTCCTCCTCCTCTTCCTCCTCCTCCCCTCCAGCCATCTTCCCCACCAACCTTCAGGCCAGGACAGGCCTGGGTCATCTTAGAGGCCACCGAAAAGGTGGGGGACAATCAAGTGCCACCAAGAATCTGTGTTTCACTGGTCCCTTGGGGACTGAGGGCAGGTCATTTCACCACTGTTCTGTGTCTGACTTCAGCCGAGCCAGGCCGGGCTGGCGTTGTGCGTGGCGTGGGCAGGGGGCCGAGCGGGGAGCGGGGAAGAATGGTTTGAGTACTTACTTTTCTTTGTCTCACAACAGGGGGATTAAAGTTCTCAGGGGCTGAAGGAACCGCTCGGGACCGGCAGGCCTGGCTTTATAGCAGGGCCACTGGGCACCCTGGGCGACATGCCTGGGTTATTCATAGCATGGACTCCGTCCCTGCCCAAGTATGGGCAGGAGCTGGGCAGCTGTGCGGATGGCCAGACCTGGCCCTGTCCCCTGCACCTGTTCCGGGAGGGAGGGAGGGAGGGCAACACTCAGGGCCCTCTGACCTACGGGGGGGGGGGGGGGGCTCTGATTTGACCTCCTGGGACTTTGAGCCCTTTGCTACATCTGAACCCTTGCCCCCCCTCCAAATATGTAACAAGACGATAGGTATGTGAGGGACCTGATTACAGACAGGTGGGTATGGCCTGAGCCCCAGTGCCTGACCTCCACGCTGGAAGGTAGAAGGAGTCATCATCATTTGAGTGGGACTTCGTTTGCAGATCAGCTGTGGCTGACCCACCTTAAGGTATGAAGGTTGGATATTATGGTCTGCCTCTCGTTTTCTTTTCTTTTTGTTGGTTGTGGGGCTTGAACTCGGCCTGGGAGCTGTCTCTGAGCCACTTTGTGCTCAAGGCTAGCGCTCTACCACTTCAGCCACAGCGCCACTTCTGGCTTTTTCTGAGTAGTTAATTGGAGATAAGAATCACATCGGCCGGGCGCCGGTGGCTCTCGCCTGTCATCCTAGCTACTTGGGAGGCTGAGATCTGAGGATCGTGGTTCAAAGCCAACCTGGGAAGGAAAGTCTGTAAGACTCTTACCTCCAATAAACCACCAGAAAACCGGAAGTGGAGCTATGGCACAAAGTGGTGGAGAGCTCGCTTTGAACGGAAGAGCTCAAGGAGAGCACCCAGGCCCACCCTCTCTCTCTCTCTCTCTCTCTCTCTCTCTCTCTCACACACACACACACACACACACCAAAGATTCTCACAGACTTCCCTGCCTGGGCTGGCTTTGAATGGAGATCCTCACATCTCAGCCTCCTGAGTGGCTGGGATTAGAGGGGTGAGTCACTGAGCCCAGCTGCCTCTGTCTTGAATCCTTCCCCATCTCCCGGGAGGAGACATCCTAATGAAAAAGCCTCATATCTAGGGTTGCCCCACCATATCACTGGGCAGGAAGCTGCTTCCTGAAAGGCCAGAGTTAATCCCTGAGTGCCAGAGCCCGCCCCCCATGAGCTGCCTGGGAGTGGGGTGGCTGTGGGACATGGTGTTCTCTTTCCTGGGCTGTGAGCTTGCGGGGGGAAGGAGGGGGAAGAGGGTAGGAGATAAATCTCTCTGTCCTCACCATCTGTTCATCTTGGCGGTCATATGTCTTACCATCCGCACGTCTTTCGTCCTGGCAGGTGGGGTAACTGGACCTGAAGCCGCTGAGCACACAGCACCCCGATTCTACCACCCAGCCCTGGTCCTCCTTGCGGTTCCTCTCCCCACCCCACCCCTGGCCCCCACTCTTCCCAGACTGGGGCTCTTGGTTCTAGATCTTTCCATATTTACCTGAAGCTCACTCCTTCCTTCCTGGTCTACATTGAGACTTCCCAGAGCTTTTTCCTGTTTGGCCACCTGATCTACAAGATTGTGTGCAATCTACCAGGGGGGAAACTGAGGTTCAGGAGAAAAGGGACTTTTGGAATCCCCTGGGGCCCCCCAGGCAGAGCCAGCAAGTGGGCATTTCCCAGCAAATGTGCCACCTGGGGGGAACAGAAGACTGGAAATGACCAGGGACACACGGGGTAGATTGTGATCCCAGCCACGGGTCCAGCGGGGAAGGGAAGACGATGCCACAATTTCCACATCTCAACCTGAGGCTCTGTGGCTCCTAAGACACAGACAAGCCCGTGCCTCCAACTCTCAGCTCTGTGCAGCGCCCGGCTCCCTCCAGAGACTCCAGGAGAGCCAGAGACACACAGCTGTCATCCCAGCCACTCAGGAGGCTGAGATCTGAGGATCAAAGTTTGAAGCCAGCCTGGGCAAGAAAGCCCCATGAGACTCTTATTTCCAATGAACCAGCAAAAAAGCCAGAAGCGGAGAAGTGGAGCTGTGGCTCAAGTAGTAGAGCATCAGCTTTGAGTGACAAAACTAAGGGACAGCACCCAGGCCCTGAGTTCAAACTCCAATACTGGCATGCACACACGTGTACACACACACACACATACCACACACGTACATACACATGCACCACAGAAGGGCTCTTCCTATAGCCCCCAGCCCCAGCATCCCTTGGCTTGTGGCCACATAGCTCCGATTTCTACCTCATACCATCTTTATGGCACCCATGCATCTAATTACCTCATCTGGGGGTTAGAATTTCAGCCTGAATTTGACATATCAACTCCATAGCAAGGGGCTGGGAATGTGGCTTAGTGGTAGAGTGCTTGCCTAGCATGCATGACGTCCTGGGTTTAATTTCTCAATCAGTGCCACATAAACAAAAAAAGGCTAGAAATGGCACTGTGGCTCAAGTGGTAGAGTGCCTGGAAGAAGCTCAGGGACAGTGCACTGAGTTCAAGCCCCAGGACTGTCAAAAAGAATCCATAGCAACCCTTCCATTTCCAGAACCTTCTATATCCTGCATTAAAACTCTGTCCCATTCAGTACTGGCTCTCCTCTCCATCCCCAAACCCCGGCAAACCCTCCGCCCTCTCATCTACTACTTCCTGTCTCTCTGGATATGATGACCCTGGGGAGGTTCTGAGAGTGAGTTTCTTTCTCTCTCTCTGTCTTTCTTTTTGTTAGTCATGGGGCGTGAACTCAGGGTCTGGGCGCCGTCCCAGGTCTAACACTGCACCACTCTGAGCCCAGCTCCACTTGTGGTTTTCTGGTGGTTCACTGGAGATGACAGTCTCACGGCCTTTCTTGTCCAGCCTGGCTTCAAACCACGATCTTCAGATCTCAGCGTCCCGAGTAGCTGGGCTGACAGGCGCGAGCCACTGGCGCCGGCCTCACCGTGATCTGCGTGCGCTGCGCACGGCACCCTGTCCTCAGATCCCCTCTGCGTCGTGGCAGGTCTGCGGCCTTGTGACGGCGGGGTAATAGTCCACGGCACGGCTGGACGGGCGGGGGCTGTTCTACCTTTGTGGGATGCCGGGATCGCCGCCGTGAGCTGCAGTCATCAGCACTGGCTGCGAACTGCCCACGGAGGCCGCCACGGCTGCTGCGTCCAGCCCCCTCCGCGGAGCTGGCGCCTGCTCCGGCTCGCGGCCGCCACCTCGTGTCGGGTGCCCACATCACAGCCGCCGGCGGGGGCGGGGCTGCCAGGCCGGCCTGGGCGGGGGCGGGGCCCGGGAGCATGGAGGGGCGGGGCCCAGGAGCGTGGAGGGGCGGGGCCGGGCGCTGGGCGGGGCCCGGGAGCATGGAGGGGCGGGGCCCAGGAGCGTGGAGGGGCGGGGCCGGGCGCTGGGCGGGGCCCGGGAGCATGGAGGGGCGGAGCCGGGCGCTGGGCGGGGCCCGGGAGCGTGGAGGGGCGGGGCCGGAAGATGGGCGGGGCCGGAACGGGCCGGGCGCGCCTCTTTCCGGACCTCACACGGCCCCACCGGCAGGCTGCGAGCCAAGCCCGGGCGCCCGGCTCCCCGGCTCCCCCGCCCCCCGGAGCGCGGCTCTCCACCGCCCGGCCGGCCCCGGGCCGCGCCGAGCCCGGCCTCCGCCACTTGAGCCGCCCGCCTCCGGCTCTTCTCTTTTTCTGAGTGGTTGGAGCGGAGTCTCGCGGACTCTCCTGCCCGGGCTGGCCTCGAACTGGCATCCTCAGAGGTCGGCCTCCTGAGCAGCCTGGCGTGGGATTCCCGCGGGCTGAGCACCGGGCAGGGCTCTTACCCCCCCCCCCCCCCCGTGGAGTCGCAGCGGGCGCGGGAACAGAGGGCGCGGCCGAGAGAAGGGAGGCTTTATTCCTTCGGGCTCTCAGGGGCGCACGCGGGACAGGGCTCGCTCGGGCATGCGCAGACCCACCCCACGGGGGGGGGGTGGGGCGGCGCCTGCGCACTGCCCGCCTGCCGCTCCGGAGGGCGGGGGGGGGGGGGGGGTCGGCCGGGGCCACACCATGGTGTCCCAGTGACCACGCGAGGCCATCCGATGCTCTCAGGGGCCAAGAACACGGAGGCTGCCATCTGCGGGAGGCCCCGGGGCCTGGCGGGGACAGAGTCCTCTGCTGGCGGCGCCCAGGGCCCGGCCTCCCGAGGCCGGTGAGGAGGCTCCACCTGCTCTGTCTGCGGGAGGCCATGGGGGCGGGCCCTGTGGCCCTGAGTGGAAGACGAGCCCAGCCCGCGCTGGGCAACTGGTGGCCTGGCTGGAAGAGGCCCGGCGGAGGCCCGGCTGGCAGAGTCCAGGCCAGCGGAGGCCCAGCTGGCGGAGTCCAGGCCGGTGGAGGCCCAGCTGGCGGAGTCCAGGCCGGCGGAGGCCCAGCTGGCGGAGTCCAGGCCGGCGGAGGCCCAGCTGGCGGAGGCCCGGCTAGCGGAGGCAGGGCTAGCGGAGGTCCGACAGAGGCCCGGCCGGCAGAGGCAGGGCCAGTGGAGGCCGGGCCGGCGAGGCCCAGCTGGCGGAGGCAGGGCTAGCGGAGGCAGGGCTAGCGGAGGCCCGACAGACAGAGGCCCGGCCGGCAGAGGCAGGGCTAGCGGAGGCCGGGCTGGCGGAGGCCCGACAGAGGCCCAGCCGGCAGAGGCAGGGCTAGCGGAGGCCGGGCTGGCGGAGGCCCGACAGAGGCCCGGCCGGCAGAGGCAGGGCTAGTGGAGGCCGGGCCGGCGAGGCCCGGCTAGCGGAGGCTGCACTCGCCGCCCTGCAGCCGCTCGAGCTCCAGCGCGCGCACCAGGTCCTGCACGAAGCGCACCTCGGCCGCCACCTGCGTGGCCAGCGCCTCGTAGCGGTTCTCCAGGCGGCTGAAGCGGCGCTTGAGGCCGCCGGCGCCCAGCAGCGCCGCCCGGGCCTCCTCCTGCGCCTGGCGCCGCAGCGCCTCGGCGCGGTGCAGCTCCTGGCGCAGCCGCCGCACGTCCTGGCCGAGGCCGGCGCTCTCCTCGCGGTACCAGGCCTCCTTCTCCTCGTAGATGGCCGCCAGCGCCTCCACGTCCTCGCGGCACAGCCGCCGGCCGCGCTCCAGCTCGCGCAGCCCCTCCTCGGCCGCCGCCACCTCCTCCAGCACCTTGGAGAAGCGCTCGAAGTTGGCGTACGAGTTGTTGGGCGGCATGCTCGAGTGCGACTTGATGGTGTACTCCTTCAGCCGCGTGGTGCGCAGGCGCCGCCGCTCCGCGCGCCGCCCGCCGTCCTCGCTGCGGACCGCGCGCCGCCGGATGGCCTGCGGGGATGGGGGGGGGTGAGCCCCGCCGCCCGCGCGGGGGGGGGGGGGGGGGGGGGGGGAGCAAGCCAAGGCCTCACCTTGATCCAGGAATGTTCCAGGCTCTGGGCGATGGTCATCCTTCTCCTGAAAGATGCTGCCCGTCACCTTCGCATCCCCCCCACACCCGTGTCCCCCGTGTCTCCCCACGGCAGGTGGCAAGCAGCCCCCCCACCCATCCCAGGCCCCCCGACAGTTCAAGTCCACACCGTCCCACCGGCTATGGGGAGCGGGTTCCCGCCCCGGGGAGGCCGTGGGGCCAGAAGCTGGCTGGGCCTGAGCGATAGGGACTCTAGATTTTTCCTTGTTTGGTGTCAGCCATGGGGTTTGAACTCTGGGCCTGGGCGCTGTCCCTCAGCTCTTCAGCTCAAGGCGAGCCCTCTACCACTTGAGCCACAGCGCCACTTCCGGCTTTCTGCTGGTTCATTGGGGATCACAGTCTCACAGACTTTCCTGCCCGAGCTGGCTCTGAACGGTGATCCTCAGATCTCAGCGTCCTGAGTGGCTGGGCGCCAACTGCCGGCACTGGCTTTTCTTTTGTATGCTGGGCCTTGGGCTTTTGCACTGCTTGGTGTTGTGCCCCAAGTCTAGCTGAACAGCTCGGGCAGGCCTACAACTCCTGATCCTCCTTCCCCAGCCTGCCAAGCTCTGGAATATGACAGGTCGGCGCCATCGGGTCCAGGCCTCTATAGATAGTTTTCTAGGAAAGACCTACACTGAACTTTTGTGTGGAACGCTGCCTATGCATTTCCCAGCTTGAGGGCAGCGAGGGCCCCCAGCCTCTGCCCCCCCAGGCCCAGCCGCCACATACTTGGGGTCTTTGACCAAGAGGCGGCGGATGAAGTCCTTGGCCAGCTCGCTGGTGCTGCTGAAGTACTCCTCATCAAAGTCGTAGTTCACAGCAGAGATGTTGGTCAGGGTCTCCTGCTTGGTCTCCCCCAGGAACGGGGACGCGCCACTGAGGCTGGAGCAGAGGACGGGCCTGGGTCCCCACGGGAGCTTCACCACCCCGCTACCCCACTCGCACTAACTACCAGGGAGAGGGGGTGCATCCCCCCAAGCTCAGGCTTCTGGGTGGAGGCTCACTATAGGAAGTAGCAGCCATCCACTAGGGTTGAGCAGGGCGCACGGCCCTGCCACTGCTGGGGCTTCTGCCCTGATGCTCTGCTCTTGGGGGTGCCTGGGGGAGGGGGTGACGGATGAGCCCCGAGTGCAGCCATTTGCACAGGGACAGGCGGCAGGAGGGAGAAGACAGGCCACCTGTCAGGTTGTAGGCAGGCTGAGGGCATCAGCAGGGGCTCCCTGGCTCCTGGAGCAGGGTCCCACGGCCTGCGTTCTATTCTGGGCGCCTCCTGTCCCTCACACACGGGCTGAGTGGCAGGCGCAGGGGTGAGCAGCGGGAAGGGGCGCTGCCCAGGGAAGGGGAGCACAAAGCCGCCCCCCGCCAGGGGCCTGCAGGGTCACCCCACAACTGGCTGGCTGGGTGGGTGGAGGCAGCACGTGCAGAACCACGCCCCTCCCTCCCTGGCCCAAGCGCCCCCAGACCATGCGCCGGGCTACAGCACGTGCCAGGATGCGGCACAATGACACCAGCAGTGGAGCCGGTGAGGCCGGACAGGTACTCACAGGATGTAGGTGATGACTCCGATGCTCCTGTGGAGACAGGTGGGGGTCAGCGCAGCCAGAAGCAGCCCCCTGCTCGCAAAGCCAGCGCCCCCTCCTAGAGGGCCACACCCCGCCCCGCTCCACAGGGGCTGGTACCCTACAGGGCCCTATTTGGTCCCATCTCAGGATAGGGCCCCCTGACCATTCCCAGGCAAACCAGGGCTTGGAACAGAGCAGAACGCACCACGCACAGTGTGCGCACGGGCCTGCTGTGGTCTGGGCTGAGGTCGGCAAACCGCTCAAGGGTCACTACATACAGAGCGCCACGGGCTCCACAGCACCACGCGGTCAGCTGCCCCCGTGCACAGACACACGAGCTGGGGCTCCCGGCAGCCGGGCCACAGCCCACGGCAGCAGCGCCCCACACCCCACACCCCTGCAGCCCCCCCACAGCAGGGGGCGAGCGAAGAGGGGGAGCGCAGGCCGTGTGCACCCCAGGACAGCTGCCCACTCACCACATGTCTGCCTCCAGGCCCAGGGGCTCGTAGTTAACAATCTCAGGAGCTGTGGGGACGGGGAGAGCGGGTCAGGTACAATGGGACAATGGAGGCTTTCTCCAGCCCCACCAAACTTGGGGGTTCATGACGAGGGGGCCTGGTACACAGGAACGCTAGATCATGACAGGCCCGACTGAAGCCCCGTGGCCCCCCATCACGCCCATGCTTCCCGGGTCGACCAGGCCCTGCTGCTGCCCCAAGGGGCCTCACCCACAAATTCAGGCGTGCCAAAGATATTCTTGAACTCGTTGCCAGCCTCGATCTTGTGGGCGATGCCGAAGTCGATGAGTTTGATGCGGGGGCTGGGCGCGTGCTTGTCCAGCAGCATGATGTTCTCAGGCTGGGGGCGGGGGATAACAGGCTGAGGCTGGCACCAGCGCAGGGATGGTTCCCCATAGACCCCAGCCTCAGCCCTGCGCCCCCCCACCCCCTCCCAGCTCACCTTGAGGTCAAAGTGGGCAATGCGCTTGGAGTGCAGGTAGTGGACGCCGTCCAGGATCTGCTTGAGGAACTGCGTGGCCTCATCCTCGGTCAGCGATTCCTTCTCGGCCAGGAAGTCAAAGAGCTCCCCGCCGGACACGAGCTCCAGGATGAGCACCACGTCCGTCTTGTTCTCAAAGACGTCGTGCAGCGTGATGATGTTGGGGTGCCGGATCTCCCGCAGGATGCTCACCTCGCGCTCGATCTCCTCGCGGCTCACGCCCCGCCGGCTGGATGACAGGCGGCGCTTCTTGATGAACTTGGCGGCGTACTCCTTGCCCGTGCCCTTCTGCCGGCACTTGCGCACAATGGCAAACTGGCCGCTGTGGGGAGGGACCGACAGGGGGGCCAGGGGGTGAGCAGGGCAGCCCCAACACCCGACCTGCTGCCCGGGGTGCCTACAGCAAGGCCTGACAGTAACCCACTGTGAGAGGGGAGACAGGAACCCCGCAATCCAGCCATGCCCAGCACCCGGTGCCTCTCCCTCCCCAGGAGACCAGGCAGAACTAAATGAGACCATGTCCCCAGGGCATATGAGACAAAAGCCTGGTCCCTCAAAGGGGCCTGGGGACCCCTCTCAGCCTCTCCGCTTCCTGGCTGGAGACGTGACACACTGCACCCACAATGCGTCACACCATCCAGCTGCCCAACCCCACGCAGCCTTGTCACCTTGTGCCTGGAGCCCCCCAACACTGGGCTAAATAATCTTTTCTCTAACAAAGCAATATTTGCACGGAATGTAGGGGGGGTGTTGCTTGTTTGTTTACAAGCACCTTGTGCACAGCAAGCAGGTGTGTCCAGGGGAACAGAGAAGAAAAGACTCAAAGGGTGACCCCTTAACAGGTCTGCAGAGGCTGATGGAGGGCGGTGAGCAAGGGTGCTCCCCTGTGCGATTCTTCCTGATCAACTTTTGGGTTAAGGAAAAAGAGGCCTGGGGGCAGGGCGCCTTGCCTGGCAAGTGCGAGTTCAAACCCTAGTATTGCCAACCAAGAAAAAGTGCACTGACTTCTAAACAAAGTGCCAGGTACCGGTGGCTCAGACCTGTTACCCCAGCGCTACCCAGGAGGCTGAGATCTGAAGATGGAGAGATGGAGGTTCAAAGCCAGCCAGGGGGGAGGGGAGGGGGTGCACCGGGGGCTCTCTGGAAGCTGGGACACACAGGGGTTGGAGCTGCAGGAGGGAGCAGCATTGCTAGCTTATTTCAGATCACAGACTCCCATACTCAGACGAAAGACTGTAGGTTTTTCCCCCCCATAGCCACCTTGTGTGGCTTTGTGACAGAAGCCACTGACACCATACTGATGGACAGACACTTGTGGGCCCAGGAAAACACAACTGTCAGGCCCCGCCCACCCCAGCCCCTGCACCTGCCCACCAAGCTGAGTACACTCTGTTCCTGTCCCTCTCCGCCCCCCATTTTTGTTAAGGCCTCCCACTTCCATCTGCCTTTCCCTCCCTTCCTGTCTACACCCTTCCAGCAGCAAACCCCCCATCCCATCACGACTGGGATGGGAGCCTGGGGGCTGAGCTGCCCACATGGAGAAGCCATGGTGAGTGAGATCTGTTTCCCCAGCTCTACTCCAAGCACAACTAGGAAACAAGGAGGCCGAGGATTGAGCTCACCCAACAGGCAAAAGATGCTGGTATGGGCTCAGATTTGCATACTAAGACTTTTTGTGTGTGCCAGTACCAGGGCTTAACCTTGAGGCCTGGGTGCTCTTTCTGCTTAAGGCTGGCACTCTACCACTTGAGCCATAGCTCCACTTCCAGCTTTTTGATGGTTCACTGAAGAGTCTTGTGGGCTTTTCTGCCCACAAGGCTGGCTTTGAACCTCAGAATCCTCAGATCCCAGCTTCCTGAGTAGCTAGGATGAAGCATGAGCCACTGGCTTCCAGGTACTTTTTGTTTGTTTGTTTGTTTGAGAGGGGATCTCACTGTGCTCCCCAGGCTGGCGCCAAATCCCAGGGCTCAGAGGTGGCTCTAGCCTTGGTCTCCTGTGCGGCAGGGAACAAGGGTCACCTCCCCCGACCCCTCCACCCCCGCACCCCAGGAAGGGAAAGCCTTTGGAGACAGGAGCTCTGAAGAGCAGATGAAGTCACGCACTGTCCGCCTGAGCTGACAGATGGACAGGTCCGCCGGTCCGCGCCATGAGGCGGGAGCTAGAGAGGAGGCCCAGTAATGCTGAACCTCAGGTTAACCTCCTCCCCGAGGCTCTGGTGCAGAGGGCTGGGAGAGAAGAACTTTGTGTGCATGCGCACGGAGCCACCGGCCAACATCACCCAGCAGCCAACGCCAACTGTGACCCCACAGAACCAGTCACCTGCTGCTCCCCATTACCACAGCAACTCCTGCCTGGCTCCCCAAAGGCAGTCAGTAATTAGACCCCAGGAGACAAGTTTCTGTGGGGACAGGACCCAGCTCCCTCCTCCCTCACAGCCACACAGCGCGGCAGCGGACCTGAGCCGAGGATGTCTGCGGTCCATACCCTCTGCTCATGCCCACCGTGACACCATGGCCATGAGCAGCCACGACGGGCACTTAAGAATGAAAAGGAGGGCCGGGCGCTGGTGGCTCACGCCTGTAATCCTAGCTACTCAGGAGGCTGAGATCTGAGGATCGCGGTTCAAAGCCAGCCCGGGCAGGAGAGACCGTGAGACTCCTATCTCCAATAAACCACCAGAAAACTGGCAGTGGCGCTGTAGCTCAAGTGGTAGAGCACTCGCCTTGAGCTGAAGAGCTGAGGGACAGCGCCCAGGCCCAGAGTTCAAGCCCCACGACCGACAAAAAAAAAAAAAAAAAAAAGAAAAGGAGGGCAGCTGGCCTCAGGCCACAGATCACCAGTGGCAAAGGCTGGTCCTCCTCCCGGCTGGGGCCTGGAACAAAGTGGGGCGCCTATCCCCCATTGCTCAGATCCTGCTTCATCCTCCCACAATTCTGTCTGGCCTCAGGTGCCTCCCAGTCCCAGGGACTCCAGGTCTCTGGAAATGGGGTGGGAAAATAGGGGACCAAGAAGGACTTAGCAGGTAGGAAAACAAACCTTCCACCCAAAGCACAAGACCAGCAGACACTAGCCTGGGCCGAAGAGCCTGTGGTCAGGAAGGAGATAGACACTCACCCGCAGAGCAGTCTCTCAGATCAGAGCAGACGAACAGATGTAAGAAGAGAATCCACTGGGCAAAGGTAGAGAGGAATGTGCCAGAAAACAAGAGGTTCACCAAACTTTTTTTTTTCCCTTCCTTTTTCGTGGTTCTGGGAATGAACCTAGGGCCTTTCACATGCTACTTTCCTGCTCTATCACTGAGGTGTGCACTCAGCCTTTAAGCTTTTTTAGTGCTGGTACTGGGAGTTAAATCCGGGCCGAGGAACAATCTCTTAGCATTTTCTACTTAAAAGGTGGCACTCTACCCCTTGAGCCACAGCTTCATTTCTGGCATTTTGCTGGCCAATGGGAGATAGAAGTCTCATGGTCTGTGCTGCCTGGGGGTGCTTCGAACCTCAGATCTCAGGCTCCTGAGTAATTAGGATTATAGGCGTGAACCACCAGCACTGGGCTCCCTACTCATTAGAGGCCAGCCACTGAATATTTTCAGCTTTTCATACCACAAGGGTCATCTATTCAGCCTCAGGCAAGCAGTGTGGGGGTCAAGGAATGAATCCAGCTAAGTTCCAAGGTCTTAATTATCAACTTTCACTATTGACTTTGTATGGGGAATTTCCTATCATTGTTCCATGTCACCAAATAGAATTTTTTGGCCAACCATTTAAAATTCCACACACAGGCTGGGGGTGGGGGTACAGTTCAGTGATAAGCACTGTCTAGCAAGTATAATAAGGTCCTGAGTTCCATCTCCAGGACCAATAACATGAAAACAAAAAAGCATAAAACAAACATACAAAAACAAAAAAGATTACATACATCCAGGCGCTCATGCCTGTAATTCGAGCTACTGAGAAGGCTGAGATCTGAGGGTTTCAGTTTGAAATTGGCCTAGGCAGGAAATTCTGTGCGACTCATATCTAGTTAACCAAGTTCTGGACTCAAGAGAGAGCGCCAGTCTTGAGTGAACAAAGCTAAGGGACAGTGCTCAAGCCCTGAGTTCAAGCCCCATGTTAGATACAAACACTACCATCACTTTATTTAAGGAAACTTGAGGGAGTGCTGCAAAGCATGCATGAAGCTCTGGGTTGGATTCCTCAGTGCCACATAGACAGAAAAAGCCAGAAGTGGCACTGTAGCTCAAGTGGTAGAGTGCTAAAAGAAGCTCAGGGATAGTACCTTGAGGTTCAAGCCCCAGGACTGGCAAAAAAGAAAGAAACTTGAGTCTAAGGTCTTGGTTTTTGTCCTTAACACCACTAAAAGTAAAATAATTTAAAAAATAACGGAAAAGAAAGAGGAGCTGAGAATGTGACATAGTGATAGAGTGCTTGCCCAGCATGCATGAAGCCCTGGGTTCCATTCCTAATTACCACATAAGCAGAAAAAGCTGGAAGTAGTGCTGTGGCTCAAGTAGTAGAGGGCTAGCCTTGAGCAAAAGAAGTTCAGGGACAGTGCCCAGGCCCTGAGTTCAAGTCCCACTCAGGACTGGCACCAAAAAAAAAAAAGGAAAAAGATGTTGGGATTCTTGGTGGGTCCAGGAACCAGTGTCCCATAGCCACCAAAGCATGATTTAGTATATGGATTAAAATTTCCTAACTTCAGCCAAAACAGCTCCTGGCAGGAAATCCTAAATTCGCCCACATCAAATAGTGACTTGGGGGGTGGAGGGGAGGCAGGGCTGCATTCTCCGCCTGGCTGATGGAGGAAATGTCGGATAAAGCATTTCAGGATCCCCAAAGAGCCAAAGAACTGTCTCTGTGGCCTGACACAGAGCTCAGTTATTTACATTCCCTCCTGGTGACATCACGGGGCGGGTCTTGGGGTTCCAGGAAGGCTGTCCAGCAGCAAACTCACCAAATAAGGTTTGAGGCTACACACACACACACACACACACACACACACACACACGTCTGGGTCTTGAGCAGAGGTGGGTGGAGGAAGGCAGGGGCACCCTGGGAGGCCCAAACAGCTACCTCACAGGGAGGAGAACCACTGCTTTCTCTCTTAGGTGCTGAACAAGACCTGGGGAGGCTCAAGTGTCCCCCCAAAAAAGCAGATTCTAAGGCTGTTCAAGGCCAGGGCTGTCAGATTCCAAAGCTCAAACTTCCTCCACCTCCCCCCCCCCCCCCCCCCCCCCCCGCCCCCACCACCACACACATATCAGCTCAGGCTCTGCTGACTCACTCCGTAGAGGGACAAAGGGCAGGAAGGGGGGATTTAGCGTCACCCCAACCCCTCCCCCTCGCAGAGCGCGGCTCACCTGCCCAGCTCCTCGCCCATCTCATAGTGGTCCTCCACGTCCTCCTGCCTGAACGTGGCCATGGCGGCGCGCTCGCCTTCGCCGGCCTGGGCTCCAGGGGCGGTGGGGGGGGCGCGGTCGCGGCGGCCTGGGGACGGGGACCCGGGGAGCTCGGGGGTCCCCCACCCGCAGCTCTGCAGGAGACAAGGGGAGGTTCTCACTGGTGCTCGTCCTCACTTCTCTGGACGAGGTCACCGCCGGCAGTCGGGCCCTGGCTCGCGCTCGGGGCGGACCCCGCTGGAAGGCCTCCATCCCGCCGGGCCCGGCCCCCAGCGCACCACGCCCCCGCCGGCCCGCCCGCCCCCCGGGCCCCCAGCTCCCCCGCCAGCTTTCTCCTTCAAGCCCTGCCCCCCCGGTCCCCAAGTGCCACGGCGGCCGCACCTGTCCACCGAGCTGGGCCCGACACCGCCCGCACCGCGCACGGGCCCCGCGCTCCGCAGGCCCGGCTGCCTCGCTGGCCGCCCCCAGCTCCTCCTCCTCCTCCTCCTCCCGCCCCGCCGTCTCGGAAGCCGCCGCGGCGCAAGGCGCTGACGTCACCTCGTGGGCTAACACCCGCCCCGAGGAGGCGGAGCTCAACGCGCATTGGCCCGTAGGCCCGCCGACTGTATGGCATCGCTAGCACGCCCTCGGCTGCCCTTCCGGGAGCCGCACCCGGATACAACCTCGCCATTGGCTGACAGACCCATCTTGCCTAATCTGATTGGCCGGCACGAACACTGACCGAACCCACTGAAATATCGACTTCCGGCAGCACCTGACAGGCACTCTGTCCAGGTGCACACCGCTCGTGTGTAGATGCTTGCTACACGCATTTACGGAGTCTTGCTATGGTACGAAAACCCGTGGCTTTGGTGGTCTACTGGTCCAGCCAAACCAAGCCCCCCATCGGCTTCTCTTCTGACTCCCAGGTTAGTTGCCTGGCCGTCCCCGCGCTGGGCCCCCCGGGCCCCTCATTCATGCAAGCTCACACCCAGCAGCTTCTCAGCTAGCCAGACCTTCACACCCACTGCCTTTCTTCGGATCCGTGGTGGGGCTTGAACTCAGCCTGGGCGCTGTCTCAGGTTCTCTAGCTCCTGGTAGCACTCATACCACTTTGAGCCACAGTTCCACTTCTAGTTTCAGGAAACTAACTGGAGCTAAGTCTCAGACTTTTGTGCCCAGGATGGCGATGCACCACTAGGAAGACAGGGCGAGTTGAGCCACTGGCACCAGCTTCTCATTACCATTCTTCTAGCCAATAAACGTAGCAACGAGTCCTGTGTCCAACTGAAAATACTTTCAGGCAGCTTTTCTAATTTCAATGTTCAGAATATAATGTGCAATGATGTATCATTGAGTTTTTAAGATTTTTTTTTGGTCGGTCATGGGCCTGGGCGCTGTCCCTCAGTTCTTCAGCTCAAGGCTAGCGCTCTACCACTTGAGCCACAGCACCACTTCCAGCTTTTTTTCCTGCTTATGTGGTGCTGAGGAATCGAACCCAAGGGGGCCTCATGCATGCAAGACAAGCACTCTACCACTGAGCCACCTTCCCAGCCCCTTAAGACTTTTGTCTAATCTAAAAGCTCAGACTGGCAATGGCAAATATGCATACACTGAAAATTCCCTTTCTGGGAAACCTTGGGGGTGAAGAGCAGACCTGAGCTCCTGGAGGCACTGCAGGGTGGGTGTTGGTATGACTCCCACCATCCATCTGGATGGGAGCTGCGTGGGGGACTCTAGCCAGCTTCCCTATCCATGCTGCCTTGGACAGGCCCCTGACCCCCAAATCGAACTCTCCTCCTCCTGCAGAGGCAGAACAGGTGCAAAAACAAGTCAAAGCATGCCCAAGGTCACCACCATCATATTTATTATTCCAATGGCACAAGTACAGCTGGAGGTGGCCATGGTGTCAGCACAGGGGAACACCTGCCCACCTGTTCCTTCTTTCTAGGGAAAAGCCACTTTGGGCCATTTACCCAAATAAACTTTTAATGCATTTATTTTAAAATTTGGGACATCTGAATTTGAGTTTCCCTCTGATGAAATGATAAAGCACTGGGTGTCCTGCCCACCTCCCACCCCGTCGGGCTATGAACGTCCCTGCAGAAAAGGGTATTTCTGCTGCCTCTGGAACCCCAAAATAAATAGAGGGAAACAGCATCAAGTGTTAACGCAGAGTGATGGCACGGAGTGGGCCCCAGAAACCTTGGGCAGAGCGCCACTGTGGGGACAGTCTCGAGATGTCATCTGAGAGAACGCGGGCATGGTGCAGTGGTCAAACTGGTGTGAGTGCTGAGCCGAGTCCCGCCAGGCAAGGAAGGAAGGACCACCTACAACTTGTCCAAGAAGTTGTCCAGGGCTGGGATACCCTCCTTCAGGCCTTTGCGCTTGCGGGTCTCCGCCACCACCTGGCTGGGGCGGCTGCTGTTATCGAAGGGGTCTCCAGGCAGGATCTGCCAGTGGTCAAACACGCACTGTGGGAAGGCCTGGCCTCCAGTGTTAGACCTCAGGTCGGCAGTAAAACCTGTTAAGAATGAAACAAGGAGAGTCTCACCATAGTCCCAGCAGTCAAAGTCCTGCCAGAACCCTGGCCAGTCCCTCGGTGGGTAGAGGGCAAGGGACTTCCTGATCACTAAATGCAATGAGCCCAGAGTTGTGAATCTCAACAGAAAGCTTCCCGTAGCCAAATCTGTCCACCCCAGCCTGGGCTATTTTAAGACCTGGTCTCAAATAAGGGCTGGTAGTTGATCTCGGGTTCATCTCAGTCCTTCATAGGGGCCAACCCTGCTACCTGGACTCAGTTTTTAACACCTCCCTGTAGTCCCACAAACATGGACTTACCAAAGGACTCATTGACAGGCAGGTAGGCCTTGACCACAAACATGGGGGTGCCAGCCACCTGGGATTCTTCAAACACGTGGCCTCGTTTCCTGTTCAGGACTCCATAGATGCCACCAACTACTTGCTCTGGACACTGAAGTGAGAGCAGGAGACCATCAGTGGTTATAGTAAGGTGTCAGGGTCAGGGCTGGGGGGGCTGCAGCATGCCATCTGCCTTACCTGGATCTCCACAAGGTAGATGGGCTCCATGAGGCGTGGCTGGGCAGTCAGCACACTGGCATAGAGGCAGCGGCGGGCCGTGGGGATGATCTGGCCGCCCCCGCGGTGGATGGCATCGGCATGCAGTGTCACATCGTGGACGTCAAAGCGAACACCCCGCATGTTCTCCTCACACAGCGCCCCCTGGGGCAGAAGGAGACAGCCTGAAAAAACAGCCCTCCCACAACAGCCTCACCCCAATCTTGGCCTTCCACTGCTGGTCCTGCCTGCGCGACTGACTCCCAGCTCACCTCCTTGGTGGCCCACTGGAAGCCAGCCACCACACTGTCCTTGATTTCATTGAGGTACTGCACACCCTTGGTGATGTCAGTGAGGATGTTGGGGCCAGTGCCATCAGGTCCAAAGCACCAGATCTTACGGGCTTCAGCCACATCCCACTCGTACTTCTCAGCCAGGTAGCGTGCCCGCTGTTTGAGCTCCTGGCGAGCAGACACCTCCCCCTTGTCGATGTCCTCAGCCAGACCATCAGGGAAGGGCCGCGCCTTCATGTACAGCCGGTTGTGCTTATTGGGGGACTTGGACAGGCACAGCACGTTCGACTCCTCGCTGACTGTCTCCCGGTATGAGACCACGGGGTCGGATTTCTGGGAAAGGAAATCATGGGTCACTGAGGGAACTTCACAAGGAAGGTGCAATGGGCACGGACAACGCTGGTGACACAACAGCTTGTAGGAGCATGGACACAAACCATCCAGCACATGGCCTGCCCTGACCAACCCTGGCAGGTACACAAATGGCCACACCAAGGAAAGGTAGAAAGCCTGCATGTGGCTGTGATTGCCAAGGAGGAATGGCCTTTTCCACTACTTTGAGGATCCAGGTTGGCAGGGGCAGTGCCTACCTTGATGGGGATGCAGGCATGGTCCTCCTCCAGGTCCTTGAGGCAGATCTCAAGGTGCAGCTCACCAGCACCCGCGATGATGTGCTCCCCTGACTCCTCGATGATGCACTGTGGGCCAAAGTGCTGTCAGCCTGGCCTGGCCCATGCCCCACACTCACAGCTCCACCAGCCAATAGGAAAGCTGGACCTCCCTCCAAACAAGGATGCAGCATAGCATGTGGTAGCAGGCCCAACAGGCAGAAGCTAGCAGGAAAATCCCTGCCTTCATAAATCCCGTCCACATACCTCAAGGCCACAGGCCCACCCTACCCTATGGGCAGCTAGGATGGGGACTGGGGAGGTGGAGCCACACCTGCACCATGGGATCCGACTTGGCCAGCCGCTTCAGGCCCTCCACCAGCTTGGGCAGGTCAGCGGGGTTCTTGGCCTCCACAGCCACCCTGACGACAGGGCTGACACTGAACTTCATGACACGCATGTTGTGCGCATGCTCGAATGTGGTGATGGTGCCAGTCTTGACCAGGAACTGATCCACACCCACCAGGCCCACGATGTTACCGCAAGGCACATCCTCAATTGGCTCCACATAGCGGCCCATCATCAAGATGGTCCTAGGGAGGAAAAAGCACGTTCTCACACTGCCTTGAAGGCCCATGGCCCACAGACTGAAACCATGGCTCCTCACAAACGGGCATGAGTGCCAGCGATGGACAACATCACCATAACCCTCTGCAGGTGACCACACCAACCAGGTGTGCACAGACCAAATGAAGGCAGAGGTCATGAGGGTCATGAGGTCAGTCATGGACCACCCTGTACTCGGGTACATTTGCATCCCATTGTGAGTTGGGACTAAACCAAATCAGAAAAGAGGGGATGCGTTAGCTTGCCGGGGTCCTCTGGCTTCCTGGTCTCAGGTGTTGAGACAGAGGTTTAAGAGGACCAAACCCCATCCCACTGTAGCTTGTAGCAAAGATGCTACCGGCCAGGAGCCCAGGAGGGCAGGCCCAACCTAAGCTGGCCGGGAGCAGGTGCCCATCTTCCACTCACCTCTGGATGGGCTTCAGGTAGAGATCCTCCTTCTTCCCAGGGGTGTAGTTGGGGCCCATGATCCTGACCTTCAGGCCAGTGGACACCAGCCCTGAGAAAACGCGTCCAAAGGCATAGAAGCGGCCCTTGTCGGAGGTTGGCACCATTTTGGAGATGTACATCATAAGGGGGCCTTTGGGGTCACAGCTTTTAATGCCTAAGGGGAGAGGAGAAGTAATGGGAGGGGATTATGTCATTCCTGCCCAGACTCAGCTTTCTGGAGCCCACCACCTGAGGCAGGACTCATACCCATGGCAGCCTCATCGTCCGGGGGCCCCTCGTAGAGCAGCTCGCAGCGGTACTTCTGCGCAGTGACGGGCGAGGGCAGATGGATGGTGATCATCTGTAGCAGCGCATCCCCTGCTGGCAGCCAGCGGCGCATCACAGCCTGCACACAGGGCAGGGCTCATGAGGGCCTTGTTTAAGGGTGGTGGCAGTACACGTA